ATTTAAACAATCATAAATTACGGATAAAAACGAGCAAAGAAATTTATCGACTAAGCTTTATGTTTCAATTGATATAATTTTGAGTGTTACTAAATCGATGATGTCATATGTTTAAATAATGTTTGATGTGTTTTCTCAACATTCTAGTCGTCAGTGTGTCTCCAAGTTACTCTGTCTGTCATTCATCACTAGTCTTTTGATAGGTTTCTTTGTCACATTTTTCTTTTTATTGTAATCTTAAAAAAATATCTTTGTGTTAATAAACTCTGTGTGTAGAAGTAATTTATAAAAAAAAATTTTTTTTTCACTTATTTTTTTTCGTATTCAGTTAAAATATAGGAACTGCGTTGTAGTCAAAATTATAAACTTAATTATAGTTTGTGTAAAGTTAACTTATCTTTTTTTTTTATTATTATTGAATAACTTGTTAAATTAATATGACGGTGTGTTTGTAACTTGTATTCATAGTCAGTCAAGATAGTATCTCCTCCACTCTCACCTTCACCCCGCTGTCATATACATACATATGTTCATTATAAAATCGACTTTTTATTACGACTATTATTATTGTTTAATAGTCGAAGCACTGCAGGTGATGTTCTAAAGATCAACTTTATTTATATAAAAAATTCCCTTAAACAACGTTTTAACTCTCAAAAAACATCGACATGAGTTTAAGTTATACCTGAACGATCATACGGAAACTGTAACAAAGATATTAATATTTATTGAATTACTTTAATAATAATAAATAAAATGTTGCGAAGTTAACATTGGCTACGCTTTTAATTTCCAACTAATAAACTTAAAAAACGACCTCATGTGTCCGTGTTTTATATGAGAAAATGATTACATACATAATACACATTATGACGTCACGTATACACTATGTACATACATATAATGTAACATGATGTCAGTGGTGGCTCAGTGGTTAAAGGGCCCGCCTCTCGGCCTCTCGTCGCCGAGGGCGCGGGTTCGATCCTGGCCCGGGCAAGTACCAATGTGATTTAGACATCACTGATTAATGTTGAGTCCCAAAAGAGGGTTGATGTCAGGCAGGCGGCCGGTCGTAAAAACAAATAGCTAAAAACTATACACAACATATAAGGCAGACCCTGGCTATAGCTGGGAAATTGCCAGGTAGAAGATATAATATAACATGATGATTGTACAGGAGACGTTTATTATCAGAATATGTCGACACCAATTAAGTACTCTCTTAAGACGGTCAGCGGTTCTTATAAGTCCATTGCCAGTAGCTATGTTTGTGTTTATAAATTCATATAAATGTAAATGTATGTATTTATATGAAATTGAAATTTATATAAAGCTTATGTGGAATGTAGTAAACAACTTACGTTATGATGGCGAGCACAGGTGACACGGCCGTGGATGGAGTTTCTACAAATGATTTAGAAGTAATAGTGAGGTGAACTTCTAATACTCTTAATCCCCTGTTTATTTTTATGTTAAAAAAAATCATAATCGCGAAATAATGGGAATAAACTGGTATCCTTTCTATGAAAAGTAAGATATTGACAAACGAACTTCAGCGCTGAAAACTCATATGAAGATGAAGAAGGACTTCTCTCTTCATTTCAATAAAACAATACTCAATGAGACTTTTAATTCTATTTTATTTTGAAAGGACAAAATTTAAAAAACACAATTTACACACTATAATAAAAATAATGAAAGTCAGTAGTGGCCTAGTGGTTAAAAGGCCCGCCTCTCATGCACGAGGGCGTGGGTTCGATCCTGGCAAGTACTAATGTTTTTCCGAGTCATATGTATTTTCTAAGAGTATTTAGACATCACTGATTAATGCAGTCCCAAAGAGGGTTGATGTCAAGCGGGCGGCCGGTCGTAAAAACAATTAGCCAAAACTATTCACAACATGTAAGGCAGACCCTGGCCAAAGCTGGGAAATTGCCAGAAAGAAGAGAAGAATAAAAATAATTAAATATATATTTTTTAATATATATGTATAATTTGTTTTGACTATAATTGTTATATATATATTATCCGTTACGTCACTAATATTCAATGACAAGCCCGTCCGCGTGATACAACTCTCTCACTCTATTAAGATTATTTTTCTTGATACAAAAGATTTCAATCAATACTTAAATAATGTATGTTGTAACAAAACAAGAAGTCCCACACGATCACAAACACGCGGCTATTCAGTAAAGTCCACTTCAATAATTCATTGACACCTCAAAACCTGTGGCTGAAGCCTATGTGTCTGTTGTTAAAAAATCACAGAAATAAAAATGGTCAGCTAAAATTAGTGTCAATATTGCATTATTGAAAATGCACGTTAAAACAAAGGCCAAACCGCTAAATCTTAATTATAATTATACTTTGAAATAATGTTCAATTTATGTTAAACAAATTAATTACACGTGTATTCTGTTTCTTGAACAGTTAATCGCTACTTGTACTGCAAGGTCTCGGTGGTAATTAAATGATTGGTCCACAATAAGACGCTTCATACTAACACAAATAGTGTGGACAATGAGATATTAAAGGAGGAGACAGTTTATTTATGTAAAGCAAAGGACGTTAGTGTTCATCTTTAATATCTGAAAATATAAACTGATTTGCAATAAAATTTATTTTCATTATAATTAAATTTGTTATTATTAAATAAACATTATTTAAACATATAACATTATTTGAATTAAGATCAAGATTACAGTAGCTTAGGAGTCAATGGTGGCCTAGTGGTTAAAAGGCCCGCTTCTCATGCACGAGGGCGCGGATTCGATCCTGGCCCGGGCAAGTACCAATGTTATTTTTCCGAGTCATGTGTACTTTCTAAGAGTACAGACCCTGGCTAAAAGCTGGGAAATTGCCAAGTAGAAGAAAAAGATTACATTAGCTTCATGTATCTGTCGTGTCAATTAAATAAGAATATATATTATTAAAATTGTTTACAAAACGTTTAATATAATTTACTTATATGTTCGTTTGTTACAGTTGATATATGTATGTATTTAATATACAGGGTAGACGTTTTATCGATAATCCCATTGCAGACTACACAGAACGCACCTAATATTCAAAAGGTGTCTATATTACTGCCCCAGACCACGTCTCAGTCATTGTATATGTATATTATAATAGTCACCTTTCAACGGTCAATCGAATAACATTTGTTTGTGTGTTAGAAGTCATTGTTAGTAATGAAAATAATCATTTAACCTGATGAGTGATTGTATCTCACCTCGTCACCACACGAACTCCAAGCTGTTAATGGATCTTGTTTACACGCAAACTGTTCCGTTTGTGACTAGTATATAAATAAGTTAGACCATCTTATTCTGAACAGATAATGTGTTTATTTGTGTTATATGTAATATTTATGAATTATATACAGGTTATATTCATAAAAGAAATTTTTATTTAACAGATTTTTGAGATTTTTTTAATTTAATTTAAAATATTAAACAAATGAAATCACATGACCAGACAACTATATATTTTTTATTGATGATTGATAATATCAGAAATATATTTTTATATAAATCTGTTTACAAGTACATGTTAGTCACTAACGTTATAAGAACTGTGTACATAAAATAGTTTCTTTATACGTAAAGAACGTCGTAATAAATATTTTGTTTGACGAGACTGGAAACGACATTCCTATAATGTCTCCTTGAAAAATAAGAAAGTTTATAAATTGTTTGGAAAAATTAGATTTGAAAAGGTGAAAAAGCTTGGGACTTCTTATTTTATCAGTTTATTTTGTAATAGAAGATAATTTGACTTAGAAACTGTCTAAAAATATGGATGTTATCCTGGACTAGATGCCATAGATGCCAGTCTTTTCACCTGTTTTCACCTGTCAACTGATCATTTTTAACCAATTAATAATGAAATAATGATGGTTTAGTTTCTGTATTATTTTCATTTTTAATATAAAATCTACGTTATAAAACCTGTGTTAGTCGTCATCCGATCGTTCGTTTTCTATTCAACAACATCTCACACGATACATTACTTTTAAGTTTTTAATGACAATTTCCATCACACGAATACAAAGGGTTTATTTCAAAGAGACCCAGCTCAGACAGTAGCTATCTGAAGATTGTGACAAAATAATTGAGTAATATAATATGGCCATAAATTTGAATATATTAACGAGTCACCAGAACTCACTTCCATATGTTCAAGATCATCATTTTCATCATCAGTAAAATCTGTTCAGGTTACAACTAGTGTCAACTGTATGAGGTCAATGAGTCTGTGTCTAAAGTCTACAAGGCCACATACTCGTAGAACATTAGACAGAAGGTGCTCGTGAAGTGTCCGAGCAGGACACTATCAATGCATTGGTAAATTACCAGTTTGCATTTGTTACTGTTAGTATATACTTTACTGTATTTTTTTATCAATATCTGTAGTCACACTCTTTACGATGACATTGTGTCATTTGTTACGGACTGTGTTATATGTAACATAGCTCAGAATAATTATTCTTTTATTGACTTAATTCCATTATAACTTTCAGATACTAATATTTTTTATGTTGAGAAGTTTTGGTGTTCAGAGTAATATTAAAATAATATTTTTATTTCATGAATAAACATCGTTTTGGTCGACATATATAGGTACATTAAAACCATATTAAGTTGTATGAAATGTTAAGTATGTTGTTGAAGAACATTTATTATATTAGACAAAGATTCATTCAAAGATATAGTAAACTAGTATATATGTAATGGAATTTTAAGAAATAATAGTCTTATGTATAAAACGTTCATTTACTAACGATGTACGAACATTCGGGTTTTAATGACAAAAATAGTGACGTAAAAAAATAATACCTATTGTAAATGAATTTAAAAATGTAAAGAACGAAAACAAAGGCGCAAAATGTAATCAAGAACAATAATATAAGTGATGAGATTTATCTGAAGCAGGAGGACGGGACGGAGCGGCTGTTGGAGCGCGGTACGAGGGGCGGCTGGAGACGATCGGATTAAATGATGACGACTCTTCATAACGATAATGACAGGCGTCTGGCGCAGGAGCCGGGCTTTAATCACTATGTACCAGCGCCCAGCACGCAGCAGCCAGCGCCGGCCGCCGTATGTATTGTGTGTAGCGGACTCCGGAATAATTCGCGTTTTAAACAACGAGCGCGGAATATTTCCCCAATGATTAAAGATGGAGTGACTTCTCTCCTCGCCGCCACCACTCCATTATGAGAAACTGTAATCACGAAACTATCCACATAGCTTACCCTCTAACCCTCATTCTTGAAAACGCATTAGTTTACGCTCCCCCCGGCCCGGCCGCAGCCCGCAGCCCGCAGGCCGCGCTACATAATTATTTAAGTTAATGATATACTACACCTTCCAGCCGTCTCCCGCGTGCGACAGAGACGCCTCGCGCTCGGAGGAGGCAGGCGGCACCTCCCCGTGAGCGGCGCCTCTCTCGGTCTCTCTGATTATAATATCGCGAGCGAGCTCTCTCTCTGAATGCACTGGACTGTTTTTTAATCTTGCTTACTTACTTATGTACTGCGGCTCGGTACCTAACCGTTTACATTGAAGGAACGCTCCACGACCGCCTCTCAGCGGCTCTCCGGATAATGATGCCGCGCTCCTGTAATACCATTACTTTATATTAATATATTATTTATTACACTTGGGACTTTGGTTTGTTTTTATAACACTGTTAATGATCTACATCGATACTGTGGATTTCGGCCTCTCTTTCGTGTGTTTTAATAATAAAGAATGTAATTAATATTTTTATATTGTACACAACATCTCATTCACGGCCCGATATCAAAATAAAAATTTAACTATATTTTTTTCCATAGCCCGCTGACCGTTTCATATCTTGCTTTTTAGTTTTAAGTAAAGTTGTGGTCTGAGATGTGGTCCTTGCTCGCTCCAAGAACATATCCATTTACCTTTTACTTGGAGGAATTTCTTTTTAGTCGAGGGATTGTCTAATGTATGAGAATCATTTTCCATTATGGTATACGATTAAGAAAAAAGGATGACATGTTTTCTAGGAATGTTTTTGAAATAAATTTTAGAAGTGACTATTAAACATATAAACCTAAGTTTAAATTGAATCAAATTACTTAATAAAACACGATTACATATCAGGTAACACCTATACAAACTCATATATGTATATATACATATATAATTGTAAAACAGATTATAGAATAGTTTAATTTAGTATTCAGGAGTGTTGTAAAGTTGTTATAATTGAATGAAAGCGAGCGCGTCACTGAAACTACTAAGCTGGGAGCTAGGAACTGAGTGACCACTACAGGGTACTACAAGAAACATCAGTGTATTTGACATGAAATAGTATTGTAACACTACATACAGACAGTTAACATTTTAAAATTAGTACGAGCTGTTTATTGAAATGAGAAACGGGAAATGATAAGTGTGTAGTGAGACGATGTAAACTTAGGACTAAGTACAGACATGAAGACTAGATAGTTAAATATAGAAAGAATTTATACATGTTAGTATAATTGTAACGATGTGTTGTTATAAGAAAATAAATCGACATTGTAGAAACTATATACATATTACCTTTACTAAGTGTAAAGAAAATTGTAATTTAGAAGAAACATGTTCAGTGAAAAGTACATCTAGAATGAATGTTTTATTATAGTAATTTTAAGACTGACTTTAAAGTTCTTGTGAAATATATTTATTAATATGACAATAAGGGATTCAATATATAGTACCTGTATATGTTCATATTAAATAATACAAACTGTAAGACATATATATATAAACAATATAAATATGATATGGAGATATAGTGTGTTTGAGTTATTTGAAAACTAAATTAACGATTAAAAAGACCTAAAGGTCTATAACTATAAATAACTACAAGTAAATATGATTTTATAATACAACTTATTACAAAAGTCGTCTCATAACTCTCAAGAATTCGATTGTATTTAATGAAAGTTAAAAATTGTATAATGAGGACTTAATGTATCGGTAAAAAGTTATTATTAAAGATCCCTGGTAAATAATTAAAACTTTTGAATTATTTCACTGGTTTCTTGTAATACTTATACTAAAATAGTTAAATAACTTACATATTAAATCACTTTGCGATGAAAGTTTAGAAATTTAATAATAATAATAATATATACTTTATTGTACACCACAATAGCATAGAAATTTAACAATGAAATAAATTTAGTTAGTCATTGAAAACTAGCAGAATACTATGATTAATTTTTAGACTTTTATCTAAATATAAATTATACTTGCTTCTCAATATCCTCAAATATTGAAGTATTTCAAACATTTATTTATAGGTATAAATAAATGTTTGAAATACGTTATAACACAACTACAAATATTTAAATAATTATAAGGTGTTAAGAGAATTAAATACAATTAAATAAAAGAGTTATAGTTAGACTTACATGAGATCAAGAAGCAAAACATTATTAGAAGAATATTTTCGCTTTAATTTACTTATTTTATGACATTATTTTACCTGGTAGATACGGCATGTTAGTAAGTTGTTCTCACGATGATTCTAAGAATGATAAAAGTTTTATTGTTAATATTTAACTGAGTCAGTTACTTTAACTAGAACAAACATTTACTCAGGTTAAAGATTAGTACATTTATAACGTTATTATTAAACATAATTATATATTACATATCGTTCTGTCTTATATATGTTATCTTCAACAGTAATATTCATTTGTTGTGTAGTGAGTTATCTGTACGATATGATCTATACACATATGTATAATATTTATGTACTATAACTATTAAATGTCTCTGTGTCGTCGGTCTGATGCAGGACCCACAGTCACGCTTTATTTTAAAGAACATTTTCATAAAAACTTTCTTTAAAATATGACACTAAAGTTTAACTAACTAGTTATGAAGCGTATATTTTATTGAACATGATGTTGTAGTTCATGAGTGTAGCGTTATGTTTGTGTGTCAGAATGTATCGTGAGGAGTCTTCCGTCGCCCGCGGGTCGAGTCATCCGTTGACGTTGCTCTGATACTCATTACAATAGTTTACAAGTTACAAACGTTACAGCCTTTAATAATAAAAAAAGTTCAGAGAGTAGAAATATTTTTTTTCAATTGATTGACTTATGAAAAAAAAAGAAGTTATTAAATTTGGTTAATATTTAATGAGATGTTAAATTAATAAAATATGTATGTTACTATAATACTTTAATAATATTTTTTGTCTGACTCTGAGGTGTGTAAGGTGTGAGGTAGTTCGTGTGTCAGTGAGTTCAGTACATAAGACGTCAGAGATGTTCACGTCACTGAGAGGGAATGAGCGTCAAGGTTGTGGGCGGGTCCGGGCGACATCAACACACACACAACACACTACATACTACGCGTACTACCAGCGACTACAACACTACTTACTATATACACTACATTATATACATTACATTCACTTGATATATGTTTGTATATGACAATGAATTAAAATGTCATTTATATACAACATAAGTGATGCGTTTACTTACACCGGAATTACTTCATTATTTAACCAGTACTGATATAAAGAAAATATGACTATTTGTTATAGAAATAATTACTTATTTTTACATAGTATCTAATTATTATTTTTGATTATGTTAGGTATGTATCTTAAGGAAAAATAAACGGTACATAGTCATATAATAGATAGGTGAACTATATGTGAACAAGGGTTATATACTTTATAAAATAGGTTATGTACTTTTATAACATGTATTAAATCACTATATAAAATTTATATGTTAAATCTTTTGGGTGTATTTTTCAAAATAAGATTTTTTTTAAAACAGAGTGAAGCCCAGTTAGTTTTCCCACATCAATGAGTACAGGTTCTCTATACAACACAACTTTATGTCATCATATTAAACCTTCTTCACACCTTCAATAGGGAATGTCTCACATCTTTGCCATGTTTATCGAACTCTCTTCCATCATGTAGACTGATGGTTGATTTATCTATCTTATTTTTAATTCATTAAATAACATTCTCCTTGTGAGAAGAGACCTTTGCTGAGCAGTGGGCTCAGAAGGGTTGATGATGATGATAATATTTTGATGTTCCATCATTGATCCTAGAAAACATTTTATATGCCGGACTATGTGAATATGTGATAAACTTGGATTTATATTAATTACCTAAATCTATTTCTAATAATGTTCAATATTTTCATAATTATGTCATACTAAAGTTTCATGAGTGGGATCTGATATATATTACTGTTTTCAACTTTTCAGTAACACCACGAAACAATATGAAGCCTACAAATATTAGACTAAAAAGAAAAATGTACTTTTCTATAGTATTGGCTGGTGTGGAAATATTGAGATAAATTACTTTATATTAATTTTCTGGATCATATTCATTCTATTTTGAAGCTGGTGCCCTACGAAGAATAAATCAAGATTATCAATATTTAAATCAATATTTTTATTTATCTTCAAAGGAACTGTAAACACTTACATTTTTATGTGAAAGTGAAAAAGTATTTTTTATTTCTTTTCATATTAAAGCAGCAGAGACCACTTAGGTCTCACTTTCCCAATAAAAATATTATTTCCCCTTTCCCTTATACTCAAAGGAAAATTGTAAGTTTGCTTAAATTGTTCGCAAGTCTTCTTCTTCTACCTGGCAATTTCCCAGCATTAGCCAGGGTCTGCCTTACATGTTGTGAATAGTTTTGGCTAATTGTTTTTACGACCGGCCGCCTGCCTGACATCAACCCTTTTTTTTTTGGGAATCAGCATTAATCAGTGATGTCTAAATACTCTTAGAAAGTACATATGACTCGGAAAAATTACATTTGTACTTGCCCGGGTCAGGATCAAACCCGCGCCCTCGTGCATGAGAGGCGAGCCTTGTAACCACTAGGCCACCACTGAATACAAGGCCACCACTGACTTAAAATTGTTCACAAGTACAGGGTAAAATTCTTCAGAGGGAATATTCCATTGTAAATATGAAGTTTACTTGGTTAGTTCAAATTTATTACACGCAAAATAAAATATTACAGAGTATTACCTAGTGACTTTCAACATCTCCTTATATTTATAACATTGAGATAAGCTTTCTGCTTAATTCAGAATAGGAACGTTAACTGCCTGTGTTACAAAAAAGTGCTGCAAAGTAGTCAAAGCACGATCAAAAGAAAATCCAGGAAATCGTCTGTAGAGAAAATGTTCTCTGTCATGAAGTCTTTCTATTTTCAGAATCATTCTGACTCTAAAATTTCATATTATCTTATCAGACTCACGTGCGTGCTCTGTTTTTTTTTTCATTTCATTATTAAAAAGCAAGCATGAGGGTGTCTTTTGCTGAATATTCAACTTAGATACTTGTATTTGTTGAGTCGAGCCTGAATCAGCTGAAGGTTCTTCTCTGGGATACCTTTCGATTTATGGCACACTACAACACTTCACGAGGCACTCGTTCTAACACCTATCATGGTAAAAAAATGTCATGTGCAAGTTTTTATGTGTCATTTCAGTTATTTGGCGCTGCCCTCCACGTGGTATGAAGCTGAACTGATGTTACTTTACGTATACTTTGGCTGAAATTTTTTTTTATGTCATGATAGTCCAGTTTTGATGTCAATTATCTAAGGACGATAATAAAATATAATAAATCTCAGCCATTTGTTCTTAATTTTTCTGGCACTTCGAGGATCTTGGTAAAAACCGTAAAGATTAGTTGTAGACTAAAAAACAAAACGTTCAATATAATAGATAAAAATTAAGTGTCCAGTCGGTCTATAATGGAAAGATCAGATCAGATCAGATCAGAGGGTTATGGTTGATTTGTGTTATTTAAATAATTATGTAAATAATATAAGGCAATGTAATTTGTACAAGGAAGTTTTTTACTATGTAACAATAGCTATCAAATAATCAATAAACAAAATTAACTAATGAATAAACATCCTGATCCTTTCTTACAACTTCATAAGTGAAGATAATTTTAGATTTAAACTGTCCTCTGTTATTTACTGTAGATTTATTTAAAATATTTTGCTACCACATGTTTGTGAGAACTGTTATAACTTATACAGGGTGACTGGTGAATTACTATCAATATTTAAGGAGAATACTCGGTACATGATTCTCATTCGAATTATGTAAAAAATAGGTACTTAATTTTTGACCAAATTTCCGTATAAATAAATAAAGTGTGGACACGTTCCAAGTGTTCCAAGTGTGGACGCGTGCGGCGGCGTGGTGTTGTATCAGTGTGTGTGTATATAACTAATCTGTAGGGTGTTCACATCATGCGTAATTAATTACATAACTTTTGGTTAACTTTACTCAGAAGCTTATTAATATTTATGTTATATTAATTTTTATTTTGTCATATATGATCGTCAAATATCACGTCCTCAAGTATCGATAGTAATTCACCAGTCACCCTCTATATTTATGTAGAGGTTTGTGTCCGTTTAATTTATTAAAAAATATCAAAGTTCATGGCCCCACGAGAACACAACTTTCATTGTCAAATATTTAACACTAATAAAATTGTTATGTTGGTATAAACTTTTCGTTGGTAGAATCGATCAGTTAGAGGAAGTTCGAATTACCCAATAATAAATAAGACAGAGGTTAGTGTTGTTGTAACGAATGATATGTTATGAAAATAGATGAGGTGATGTTTGTGGTTATATGAGTGTGGAGTCATTTAAATAACTAAAACTATTGTCATTTTACATATTAGACCAATTAAACCATGTATGTGTATAATAAACGCTCTCTATTACTACTATTAGAGTGTGTTTCATATTTCTTATAGAGGTAATGTTAGTTCTGTAATAAATAATAACCTTTGGTAATGATGTCTAAGATATTCAGGATAACATATTCATATATAAACGAAACTATAATAATCAGATGTAGAGCACGATTTGTATATCTCGATTGTGAGCTGTAAAGTAACCGAAATCAGTAAAGTTTATTTTATTTAAGCCTTTGAAAGGTTAAAATGTTTTTTCCAAAATATTATTTGACTCAGATTGTCGATTTTAAATATGATGAAACTCTAATTTCCCATACGTGAAAATAGTTATTGACAAAATATGTAGATTTTCATATATAAAATGTTTCATGATATAAAAATAGTTTTGTTGATATAACATTACATTTAAAATTAGTAGAACGATAATGTAATGTATATACTAAAATCATTGAAACAAAAAGTTGAGTATTTTTTACATTAACAATATGTATATAAAGTGTTTGTTTGAGTTCACACAGAACTAACGTGAGTGATAAGTTTCTTGAAGAGACAGATGATATATTTATTTGCAATATATTAGAGGTTTAGTTATTGAAATTACGGTAATATTGAAAGAACTCACTCGTCAGTAAAACCTTATTCTTTAGTATAAGGTTGTGTTGTATATTTTTTATCACTGACTGTCAAAGAGAATTTTTTAAACAGGTGTTACGATCATTTTAAAAGATTTAAGTTAATGTTGTCTTAGTATTTCAGGAACAGTACATGTGTGAATATATTTATATTTCTTAATGTAACTACTGTGATAGTATATTTAAAGATTTTAAATTAAACTATAAAATTTGAATTTGAAGAGTTAGATAAGTTTCTTATAGTATTATTATAGTTTTTTCTGGGACTGTCTGTTGGTGTAAAACACAGATACTTGAAACAAAATAAATCTATTGCGCACGTCTCGGGTACTTTAAGAATTTTAAGTTACTTGTTCAATTGAATTCTTCTGTTAAAATAATACTGTTTTCGTTCTATGACTTTATTTTAACTTCTTGTAAAAATTTCAGAGTCTGTAACGTATCTGCTGTTATTATATAAATGTAGGCGAGCTGGAATCACTATTTATACTATGAATAGCACAGTAAGTTATTCTCTAATACTCTCATTAATAAATTATTATTAAGTATCATTGCTGTGCCTAACACAGTAGTTCCTAAGCCTCCTTCCCTCCTGGCCGTCACTGCAGCGTCTGTCCTTTATTAAACCTATATTTCTTTTCACATAGTTCCTACACCTGTCCTATTTCATTGTTACATCAGTTATTTTCTTCTCCGCAGCCAGTCTATAATCCACTAAGAATCTTTTGACGAGATCCTCTTCAACTTAATCGGAGGAATTACATCGTCCTCTGATTTTTTTCCTCCGACCAATCTACGCAATCCCGCCTCGAATATTTCAGCTTTTCCAGTAAAAATTAGGTGTAGCTGTATCGAGCTGAAGTGGACCTTATTACATCCATAGAGGGTTGTATTCGTATTGTACAGTGTATAGTGTGCTCAGTTCAGGACTGTCACTAGTGTAAATTGCTTCCGATCTCCGGAGTGTTTAGCTCCAGGGGTTACACTCCTCTGATTATTTTTAAACTTTACTCAGCTGCTAGATCGTTTGTCATATAAACTATTATTCAGTTACGACTCCATCTTACATTTTATTTAATATAATTCCCATTATCTTGTTTTTTTTCTTCACATAATAATCGTTCCTCGTCGTTACAAAGAAGTGCAAGTAACTTAAATTACTGATGTCAATTCATTTCATTCTTATTACTTTAATACGGAGATACTAAACTAATATTAACACAAAATAAATTATATTTAAACAAGACACAGACAACAGAAATTTGTTTAATAATACAAATATATTTCCTACTTGTCACTACTAAATATTAATCATGTCTTTGTTCTTTATGCTTCTAAATATATATAAGTCAGTCAATAGGTCTCTATATAATACGTTTCCTATTAGTATTTCCTGCCTTATATATTATATAAGTAATGTAAGTTATATTATTTGTCAGCCCTGCCTGCCACTTACAGTATTAGGGCTGCTTGTTCCTATAATTCTATAAAGCCGGCATTCTGTTCGACCCTACCGCGAATTATCCAATCAGCGGCGTGATGACAACCAGACTCGAGGGCTGACGGAAAACGGATTTATATTGTACTAATAATTATTATAATATTAATAGAAATATTGAAGGTCAGGATAGTGATGACGTGTGTAAAACAAACTAGAAAAATACGTCTCCTATGACTGTTAGGATATCTTTAAATACATACGATTCTGTAGGTATCTTTGTTCTTATGTGACTTCTATATTTTCTTTTCTTCTACATACTGTTTATTTACTCTCTCTGTTTATATAATAATGTTCATGTGTACGGTCGTCTGTCCGTTCATCCGTTCAGTCGTGAGTAACGTCTGGTTCATTAAGTTTTAAACTTATTCAAAGAGCCCGCTCCGACAATACTTTATTAGAGGTTTAGCAATTTTTCATATTGAATTATCCTCTGATGAGTGAATCGGTCGCTTTGTTGTAGAGACTTCCACAATGACGGGGATTACAACGATAATAACATTAAATAAGATGAAAAAAATCAAAGGAAAAGACGGGATCGAATGAGTAGGTATTTGTGTTCACGAGAGAGAAATGGGAAGCTAGGATGATTACTATATGAGAACAATATATATGTTTAATGAATGTACATTTACTACACTCAAATTATGTTGAATTTAAAACGTTCTAAATACAGTTTTGTCCTCATTATATATTCAAATAAAATTAAATAATGTGCGTTGTGTGTGTGTGTGTGTGTGTGTGTGTGTGTGTGTGTGTGTGTGTGTGTGTGTGTGCGGCACATTCATATAATGTAAGTCGTAATGCGCTCTACGGACGGATCTCTTGATTACTGCGCTCATTATCAAGATGGAAGGTTTAAGGGATGGCACACGCTGCAGCAACTTACAGCGATAATAACATACTAATATATACAAAATTATTTTTTAATTACATATAATTGATATATATGTAAGTAACGCATGGTCTTAAACTGTTTGGAAAATTCTGAAGAGTGAAGACATTCTCTGAAAGGTAGTCTTACAAAATTTATCTTTGTGTCAAAACCTGTATGTATGCTGGTCTATTATAAATAATATAATTGTGTAGTGACCCTCTACATTATATATTTCAGTTGTAATCTCATATAAGTGTCGTAGAGTCTCTGTATGTTCGTAGTTCGCGTCGCTCGTGCGTGTGTCCCCTCGCCCGCATTACTTGATAGTGCATTTTATATATTTTTACATTTGCTCACAAAACGCTCATTACTGAATACATTTGCTAACGAACGTACACACAGGCGGGGGTGTTCACTTCACACACACACACACACACACACACACACACACACACACACACACACACACACACGTTACATAGCCTCGGCAGCTCTGTTACCTCGTGGTGTATGTATCGTGACAAACGCACAAATTGATGGACAATATTTACGTTTGTTTTATATGGATTATTATTTTAATGTGTATGTATCTGTGTTCTGTGTTCTGCGGGTCGGTGTCGGTGGCTGTGTCGGAGTAATTATGTCGATGAGAGGGAGCTTCATAATACAGCTCTGAAAATGGCCGGGCACATGGCTAGGTGCTTTGTCTCTGGTAACGACGCTGTTCCGCCCAGTAACGATGTCCTCCCGCTAATGACACCCTCCACCCCCCCCCCTCCCGCGACCCGCTCACCCCCGCTCACCCCCGCGATGATCCCAAAACAATATGATGAAAGTAGTTTATGTAGAGCGAGGCTGAGGGAGGAGGCGCACTATAGATGATAGTGAGGGCGGTGTTCATTACGTGTGGAAGGCGACCGGCCCAGGTACTATAGTTCGTCCCGCGGCTCCGTCCGTCCCCGCCAGCTTCCTCTCATTATTTCTATGCTCGTGAGTCTCCAGCGAGCCGGACACCGGTACAAACATCACTACGTATATTCATTGTTCACGATGAGATATGAGCTTTACCCATAGTGTCTTTTATTTCTGTACTAGCTTTCCGCCCGCAGCTTCGCCGCGTGGAGTTCGGTTATATCGCGTTTCCAAGAGAACCTTTCAAAAGTTTATAGTCTTTTCATATAATCATTTCATTCCTCAGTGGTTTAGGCGTGAAATCAGTCAGTGAGTTTTCCATTCATCTGATATGTTTTTTTTATGTCAAGTAATTTTAAAGTTAAAGACAAGATAAGAGGCAAAATTAAAGGAATAATAGTGTCGCTGTTAATAATAATATTAGACCTTTATGTATATCAATAATAATATTATATTATATTCATCCAAAGCGTGTCGTAATATTATGGTGGTAACTTCCTGAATAAGTTGAGGGCGCGGTAGGGCGGGCGTGGGCGGGGGCGGCTTAAGAAATAACTTCAAATAAATATTTAGATTTGAAACCGAATAAGAAAATCAGACGAAGTTGTTCAATGGTAGAGGGTCGCCTACATAATGAATGACACCTCGAGATACGGGGAAACGGGGGCCCGAGGGACCTGCGGGGACCTGGGCCTGGGGGACCTGGGGGCCCGGGCCTGGGGACCCTTACAAACTAACTATAAGATATGATTTGAATAGTGATTTACATCACAAATTTATTTTTGACGGCGAAGACGAGGAAAAACGAGATCAATAAAGTCTTTTAACAACTTATATTGAATATATATATACGAGTAGTAACATGGTAAGGTTACAATAATATTATAAATATTACATCATGAAAAATATTTGATTTGAACAAATATTAATAAAGTAGTAATATTTATATTAGAAATACACAAAAAATGTTTTGAAAACAGTTAACAGCTCGTCATCATGGAGATGTCTTTTAATATTATTATAAAGTATCAACAATTATAACGCCACGCGGTCACTGTGTGTGTACATTAATGTAGTGTCTGATACACGCGGACACCACACATATAAAAGACATCAACGACAGGCTCGGGGCCGGCAGTAATGAGATGTGTTGAACAAAACATCAAACAATGTTAACTGAAGTGAGAGCCTTCACGAGCTGCTGGATTATAAAGATATTGAAAGGAGGAGCTCGAGGATACGACGAGGAGGAGTGTTCATCATCTTAATGAAGACACATCAAAGACACGGCTTCAGAGGAGGCTTTGAGAACCTTCGTTAGATGACGACCGACAGGGGGACCTCACGGGACGATCACGAGACGATCCTGAACATACGACTACGATATTATATACATATTGAGTGAGCTGAATAGGATATATAGGCAGTACAAACTATTAATGTATATATAGTGTGTGTAACTAATGGAAAAATATATATTTAGAGGAAAACGTAATGTGTGTATAACTTACTGTTACAACACGTATAAAATAGGTTTTTTATATTTGACAATATTTCAACATTATATTGGCTCATTCTAATACTTTTGTAAATAATTTTAAAAGGAAAAATATATATAATTCTGTGTCATTATAATTTGAGCTCATTTTTTGACTGATTACACAAATTGTATTTTTTATTATTGATAGTGTTTGTTGTGAATTGTTTGATGAAAGCTTCTTCGATATGAAGCCTACTTTGTACTTTTTCGCATATAGTCATGAGGAAGGTCATTACCTATCGGGCGAGTAATAGTGACGAGGAACGAAACATTTTTGATGCAGATGTAGAAAAACAAATGAAGATTTATTTAAAATGACTTTCAACTGAGATATTATAGCTGAGAAAAGATCGGAAAGAATAAAAGTGTACATCGAAGACAATAGAGAGTTTTTTTTACTTTATACATTAATGAAAATTACATAATGAACAGAAGTTATTTAAGAAAATATAGACGGTGGTGGAGTTAGTATTAAACAAACATACATACTTATATACCTACCACTATATACACATAAAAATATATGTGTATATATATGGAATACACTGATATACATGTGTGTGTAATGTACACACACGCACACATTCAAAGTGTTGTGTCCACACACAGTCGACTCATTAAATCATTACAGATACGTTCTAAGATTTACAGACCTATTAAAAGAGAATTATACAATAACTTGGATCATTTCAAATAAAATATTGGATCCAATGTAGACGAGCTCACCGACGGATTTGTATAAAGTAAGAATATCCAGAGAAATATGAAAAAAACTGTAACTTAATTAAGATGTTGGCCTGGTTATACATATATGAGTGAAAACTTTAAATATACTGAAATTTAAATAAATATTGCAAGACTACAAGTTGTCTCCGTGTTTGTAGTTGTAACCTTCGTATAGGCTATAGGGGAGAGTTGGTTATATCGTACTAGCATTTAAATCGTACCACTTCTAAATTTCCCATTTAATGAATATTTTTTTCTACACTGACTACGCCAAATCGTGGCCCTGTACCATCCCTCTTCACCCACTAGTTTAAATCGACGTGAGTTAACAACTGTGCACGTAACAAAAATAAAACATTTTTTGTAGGAATTAATATAAATATTGTTGTACATTCGTAAGGAGATAACTCGTAATCAAGGTAAGCTATAGTTATTCAGTTTTTTTTTATTATTCCACAATTGTATACTAGATTATTGGGGTTTTTTGTTGCGTGTCTAAGTTTTGAGTTTATGCCGGATATTTGCTTTTGTTTTAGAAATGCCTTAGTTGGTTTAATAGTACCACTGGCAGTTGGTTAAATTGTACTGGTACGATTTACTCGACTACCCACCGCAAGTACCTATAGTACTACCGCAAGTACGTATAGTAAGTACTACCCAAGGCCAAGAACAAAAGTTATAAGAGGAGACGATCTCATTCCATCACCAGTAGCGATGATTCAGGAGAGACACTTGTTGTAGAACTACATGATGATGATGACAGCGATGATTATCTTGAAAATATATGTCGAAAGTGCAATAGTTCTTACTACGATAAGAAGGGGCCAAAAGTTGATTCGATTCAATGCGTTCGCTGTAAACGGTGGCTACATGAGACGTGTACTTCGAATCCAGACATTTATCATGATTGTTTCCATTAAGAAATATAGAGAAAGCTTATAGTTCCTTTATATAACCTAACAGTTAAAAATAAATAATTTGATTGAGAATTTTAATGTCTTTCATTCAGTGGTACGACTTAAACACCCATGGTACAATTTAAAAACTTAGTGGTACGATTAAAACGACTAGTTGGCTAAATCGTACCGATGGCAAGCCTCTATAAAAAAGCATTTTTAACAATGTTAGAATAATCGCAAGGATCTGTTCTCTTCTTCTTAGGAAGCTAAAATATGAAACTTTATTTTACGCATGTATTAATTATTATAAGACGTGTTATAGTCGAAATATTTGAGTTAAAGTGAAAAGTGGTACGATATATCCGACTCTCCCCTATGTGATGTCTAGATTTATGTAAAAGTATTTACTTTCATAAATTTATAATTAATAATTTTATTACAATAATTATATTAAGTAAGGTTAAAAAAGAATTTATTTTGATAATATGTTATTAGTTACCGAGTTTATGTATTTCATCTTTGATCAGATCTTGTTTATGTCAAAATTAAACAATCTTCTCTAAATCCTGATCAAATGGAAAACTATTGTTACAGAGGTGAAGACGACGACGATTTAACTATTATAAAAAATATTAGAAAATCGCGTACGTTTCGTCTCAAAACTCCGTATCTCAGTGATTACAAAACTAAATGATTTATAATTTTGCACACATATACGTGAATGTATAAGGCTTAATATAAAATTAATAATTTTGAAAATTATGTTTATTAATTTATTAAAAAATTAAAAATATATTTAAATATATTTTGGCACCGTATCAAAAAAGGCGCAAGTAGGCGCAAATTATTTTTCTCCCTGTGTAAACTAATGTATAAAGATCGTAATACAATAAATATCTCGACAGCGGTAAAGGGTTAGGTCTCGTTAAAAAAGAAGTAACCCGAAAATTGTACCATCTTAAACTATGTTGGTCAATTGTAATTTATTTATTTATTATATAAAATATTATTTAAGAAACGTTATAAGGATTTTCTTAATGCTTATAATAATAAGCATTAAAAATAGATATAATATTTATACATTTATATAAAAAACTTTCTAGTAATGTGGCGTTTAATTGTAGTAATGTATTGTGCCAAAATCACATCATAGAACATGAGTTAACTTTGATGCCTTTTAATACATATATTATTATGGTTTGCAAAAATTAATTAAAAAATATATAAAAGGAAGCTTATTTAAAAGACTAAATTAATTAATTAGTTTTACTCCATAAAAAGACTTTCATGTGAAGGGGTTTTGAGACGGCTTTTTCCCTATAGTGCGCGTGTTGACCAAACACACATGTATATTTCATTATTTCGAGATTCTATTAAAGTTATTAAAAACATAGATATGTCTCTAACATGACTCTTATATATGTATTATATTATTTCTATTAATAATTCAATAAGATGTATTTCTTCAACAGTCAGTCAGTGTATATTTAACATCGTTATTATCACATTAAATTCCAAGTGTGTGTTAATCTTGATCATCGTCACCTCACACTCGTCCTTACAATCATAAATGTCAATCTCACACAACACAATACAAGTATTTAAAACTGAGATAACATTATTTTGGTCGCAAAAACTCCACGTGTTGTGTAGCTAGTATGTTAGTGTCACCACCCACCACCCATCACTCAACCCATGTGGTCAAACAATAGTGTACGTTTAATAAAACATCAGTATTGTGTTGTTGTGTGTTGTTGTGTGTGGTGACGTCACTCGACACCGCTCCACCTTCTGTTGTCACTGTATTTGTACAAGCCCCGCGTCACTCGTACCAGTGACATCGTCATCTGTGTCTCATAATTCCAAACAATTAACAAATAAATCTGTTATATGAGATGAGCGTTTTCGGCGCGGCGTCATATTTTATGTTGTTGACACACGAGTCTTCTGAGGCGATTGTAATGTTATGGAAAATATAATATTATATGTAACGTTTGACACTTTTAGAAATTCACTCACAATATTTTGTATAAACTTTTTCCGCTCTAATTCGATTATACTTGTATAATCATTACAATAATAGAATACTGTACATTTCGAAAGTTTTTATCGGGATAACTGACTCATATAATATAAAATATAACAAGTCTTTTTCCTCATTATTGTAGTTAAATAATAATTCGATTATTTATGTTCTAATGTTAATTAAAACGTTGCTTTAAATATAAATTATAATCGGTGACCTAGAGTAGAACACACCGTGACTGATACGTGTTCTAGTAGGTCGAGTTGTTATGTTGTTTATTTGTTGATAGGTTGACTTGTCACCAACGAGCGATAACAGAACATAATTTATAAGAAAGTCGGTCACTGACAGACGTATTGTGTGATGTGGAGTGTGACACACACGGATGAGAGGTGATGAGAAGCAGCGGGCTGGAAACTAACTTACAAGTTTTTATTAAATGATTTACATTTTGTTTATTTAATAGGTTTTCATGTTAAAATATTTCAGTAACATGTCCAGCATTAAAAGTCAAAAACTTATTTTTCAATGTGTTTAAGTATATATACAAGTAATTAACTCAATTATCATTCTCAAGACTTACTCAGTCACAAGACTTACTGTTCAAAGACTTTATAAACAATGTCATATGTACGATGCAAACTCATTCTTTTTGTTATTTAGTTTACTAATCAATAAGTCACAATCCCGCTAATATATCTCTCACTCCACGTTCCGTTCCCTCGCTCCTCTTATTTCCTCATGAAGCCACCCTTTTAATTGACTTTACAGCGGAGATAAGAGATAGTAATTGGTAAGTAAAAGGCCGCTTCAAGTCAATGTGATAATTGCGTGCGTGTGACGTCCCGCCGGCCTCTCACCTCTCAAGCCTCTCTCCCTCTCCGGCCGATGGTAAGCATCTATCCACCAACTACCTAATGGTCGCAGCCTCTGGCCCGCTGTCGGGAACCCACGAGCTACGAAAACTGTTACAATATACTTTTAATACTAACTTTGTATCTTTGAATTATTTCTAACGAACTGATGACATAATATAATAATAGTTGCAAAATATAGTAAATGTCATTTGGCTTCTTTTTTTTGGTGTAACGATGAATTTTGAATATACAATATAAGTATGTTAATTAATTTTCCCGCTAACATATTTGTTGATTATTCATCTATGTATATGTTAAGTTCCTCCCCCCCTCTCTTTCTATATCTATCCTCTCTGCCTGCTCCTCAATCAGTTCGTGGCTCGGGCCCAGCGCATCACACTCGTCGCATCGAACGATTTGCGATTTCCTAAAGTGTGCTCGCCCTCGAGGGCCCTCCACCTAACCGTCTCCCCTCCCCCCCTCACCCCCCCTCACAGCCTGCGAACTCTTCCCCATCTGAAGAGCCTCACTGCTAAGTCTCCTAACAGCTATTGAAGGCTGTTTTTTCGCGTGGTTTTTGGTTAAAGTTCCGCCTCTTTATATTTCACACGACAACTTCAATTTGACTTCATCACAAACAAATACTTCACACATATTTATGTTATATTAATGATTTTTTGAGTATTTTTTGAGATGAAAATGAATCAGAATTTATAACATATATATATATGTTATAAAAAATAGTGGATGATTTAAATAGTGGGGCACAAAACCTCCATTTTGTTTCATAAATACATGCACTCTGTTACTATTTCAGCATATCAGTTTGCCTGTAACTGAGGTAGCACATAGCAGTTGTGTAGTTTATTTATATATCTTTGAACTGATTATTTACATAACAATAACAATATAAATAATAAAAAAATATGACAGATTGTAAGTGCCAATGTTTCATAAGAATAACAATTTTTCTAAAAAAATTTTAGAGTAAATAGCTATTATAGAAAATATTTTCCGTATTTTAGTAAACATCGTATGGGTGAAATAGAACGTGTTTCCTATTTCAGTGTCGTGTGTCGTGTCGTGTGTGTGTGTCGTCGCGGGGGCTGGTAACTCAATAACGTGCTCGATTGGCAATCACCCCGCGCCACGCACGCACCGACAGATCCCTTTACTATAAATCACTTATACTTAGCTCCGGGCCACGAATACGCTGACAGAAGACGAGCGACCGGCCTGATGGAAAAATATATAGGAGTCATCGAGATTGAGATTGAGGAAAACGAAACCTGGCTTTAGGTGTTATTGAATAAAAGAAGACTTGCAATAAACATTATATATACATAAAGGTCTGTCTGTGTGTGTGTGTGTGTTGTGGGGCGCGAGTGGAGTGTTCCGCACCCCCCCTTTTGAATATTTTGTAGGTCGTTATAATAATAATAAGGAATATTGAAATGAAAGTACGGAGCTGACAAAGACGAAGGGTTGACAGACAGACACTCAACATTATTACAATATTATGAATATGTTTGTGGTCCCGCAGAGGCGGCGCGCTCGGTGCTCGGGAGTAATAATAGGCACCAGCATACAAAGACACTTCATACTGACAGAAAGATACGTGTTTATTGGAATATAGACGGATTTATAACAAGTATTCCTTTATATAGAGCTCACGTGCTCCAGCTGTTCATTCATCTATCTCGAGGACTTCTTAGAAACAAAATCCAAACTTCTCCAGGTCTATGTACAATATATGTGGGTGTCGTATGCCAGTTCGTGTTTTAACATCATTATATTATTATAACGGCGAGGTGTGGTGACTATCGCTTCATCTGACGTTCCCCAACGCTCCATGTGTAGGCCGGGGCCGGCTGCGGGCCTGGCGGGCCGGGTCGTGGTTCGGAGGGACCCTCGTGTTGTATGTAATTACACGACAGAGTTAATAAATGTACGAGCCGGTCCATTGTACACACGAGCTGTTATTTAAATATAAAAAACATAATAATCACTGAGTGACGTGAATGAAGACTCAACACATGCCGCGAGGAACATGAAAACACACGGCTATTATAAACTGGGAACTTATTATATAGAGTACAGTTACTCTCGATACATATGTTTGTTAAGGTGAATTACTGCGGAGATGTTATGTAATTAGGAGAAGGAGAGTTTTAAAAGAAAAGTTACATTAGAAGGTTTATAAAATTATATACACTGAAGGAGAAGGCTTGGAATGGAGATTACTATATAAATACAAGTACCTAAACACATTTACATTTAATTGTATATATAGATATATATAATATGTATTTAATATTCATTAATAAGACTCTCTTTTAACATATTTCGTGTACTCATGTATGTATGTATGTTAGTATGTGTTATCATTATAATCATCTACACCTTATCTCTACCGATCAATGTCTGTTAGTTTGTGTGTTTTATTATTTTATGAACATGTTTTTAATGCATCTGTTATATCTCACACTCTCGCCTTGTTTTCAATATGTTTCGATTTAAATATGTACAACATTTCTTTATATTTAATATACAGTACTATGTTCTGGGTTCGATCCTAGTAATGTGATTGTGATTAGTGATTTTTCCAAAGCATATGTACTTTTTGAGAGTATTCAGTCACCACTGACTGTTGAAGGAAAACATCGTGAATTAACCTGGACTTATAATTTCACATTATAAACTTGAAATCACCAACCCGTCTTGAGCGAGCGTGGTGATTAATGCTCAAACCTTCTCCATGTGAGAAGAGGCCTTTGCTCAGCTGTGGGCTCTAATAGGCTGATGATGATGATGACTATGTACTGACTTATGTATTCTTCGAAATAATTTTTTATTAATTATCCTAACATATAAAATAGTTTTTTTTAACACATTAAATGCCCTTATATTCTTGAGTGTCTCTCATCTCCTTCATAATACTTATGTTAATATCTAATTCAATCAATCAAGCATCATTCATTTCAGTAATAGTTTGATTTAAAACTGACCTTCAGTTGTTAATATGTCACTCCTCGTAAACCTGAACCGTCCTCGTAGACACGCTCTACGGTGGTCTACAACATGTGCTACGGTGCTACGAGATTCGACTTAGTATTTGTAAGGGAGTGTTATAATTACGTATAATGATAATTAAAAATATTTAAGATCAAACAAGATAAAATATATCTTTTTTTATATCTTTGTTGAAAAATAAACTGTAAATTAATACTCCTTTTTCATTGAACTGCGAATTTAAAAAGTACTTTTCTTAGAAATCATCGAGTTGTATAGTAATTATAATATCAAATGTATATCGAATGGCGAATCGATTATGTGTGAGTGAAACCGAACACCTCCGTAACAAACAAACAAACAAACACACACACCGTCAGTAGTAATGGATGGTAACCGAACACTACATTGATCTGATATTGATTGAACTCATTGTCTTGTTTGTTTGTTTGTGTTCGCTGTCTCCGGATATCTCCTCAATGTATTTGAGAGCCTTTTTTTCGTTCCTTCCGTCGCGTGTCGGGTTAAAACAAAAAACTCCAACTACGAGTCCCGTTCAGTTACGGAAGGTTTTGTTTATATTGTGAAGGAACAAATTAAAAGATATTTATGAGTTCGACAAGTTTTTTGTCACAGCTACCTACCTATGTTATGTCAGGTTAGTGACAATAATCGTTATAGAAACAGCCGAAATTTTAAATCGATAATATGAAGTGAACAAAGCCAGCCGTGTCCGTCTGTCAGCGACACAATGAATGGGACCGACACCTTATAATAGAGATAACGATATAATAATATAATGTGAGCACTGGGACAACTAGGTGGAGGTGTGGTCGGGTTAGAGGCTGGCGGATAGACCTTCAAGAAGACCGTGATGAATGTAGAGACAGATGAGAAATGATTGACTGATGATTAACTGAATCTCGTATTTTAGTATGGACGGTGGTAACGATTAAATGGGAACTGTTTTGATTTAATAGCGGTCAATAGATTTGTCATCATTTCCAGACGAAATAGACGAATAATCTACTAGTCCATTATAGAAATTGATCTGACTGTTTGTAAAATTAATTAACATTAATATTCATCATTAAAAACCTTCAGTCTTTAACAACATGATGACATTTAGTTTCAAAAAGACTTTATATAGAGCAAATTATATTGAACAGGATCGGATCAACTTACAATAATATTTAGCTTCATAAAAACAAGATCTGAGTGAGAGACGTGTGAAGTATAGCTGACTCATGGATCTTCACACACTAGACAGAACAAAACGTGGATTAGTATGGAGATTTATAATAAAACACGCGGTTACACTTTGATAACATAAATAATATTAATGAGTTAAGGAAAGGAGCTTGGATGTTTCAGGTGAGCGTTTAACGCGTTAGATAGGGTCTTAAATCTACACCTGGGTCGCAAGTCACAGTCACTGTTGAAGCTCCTCTCACTACAACGATGGACCCGACACACGCACCGTGAATGCTATTGAATGATTCGACGATTTACGATAGAGACGATGGTGTATAGAAAAAAGTATCTTCAAGAGCGAGGATTGAACGAGTAGAGATACATGGATGAATGCAACTGATGATGGACAGAGTCTCTGAAAAACGAGGAGTGGAGTGATGAGAGCCGACCTACATGAACTTTATAACCGTATTGATATAATAAGATGTCTCGTCATAAACGAAATCAAATTTATTTATTTATTTATTTGAGGATCCCCAACAAAAGCTACACAGTATACAATTTTAGACTAATCAATACTAAATATCACAGAAATTTGTGCTCTTTCAATTACAGGAGACTACAGCTTGCTAATTAAAGTAAATTGAAGTAAATATATTCATACAATAATACATAGAAGTTTTTTATGGAATAGTATTAATTTAATTTTGTTCATGTGTGGAGTCGATCTCGCAAACTTGTCAACACATTTGACTAACAAATTTATGTATGTATATAAGAAAGGCGATTCAGTTACACTATTAATACCTTAAAAACGGCTGTTGGGTTATGGCTGAAAATTGATGGGGAGATAGCTTAGAACCAGGAGACCGAATAAGATATTTAAATCTGTTTTATCGAAAAATAAAAAATCCAATATCTGGTTATTTACGACATCTAGGGTGGAATAGAACTCGCCTGGTAGCGATATATGTATGTATTACTAATTCTGAAATTAACGCGGACGAAGTCGCGGGCAAAAGCTAGTGAATTTATAAAGGCGAGTTTAATTGTAGAAATAGGGAAGAATAGAGAGATTAAAAAATATTTTGATCACAAAAAATTAGTTCTTTTATTAAAACATTAATAATGGAAATATTATAAGTTAAATATTGTGTTTTTTTTGTTATTTTCATATCGAGGTCGTGTGACATTACAAATCATTTCTATTATGAGACTGATCTGATGGATGTCGAGACCAAATGAACAATAGGCCGGTGGAAGATGTTACTGTGATTTGAATCTTATACAGACACCTGTAAGACACTAAATGCTCTGATACCGAAATATTGGTCATCGGACGAACGGACGGACAATACGATACAATACAATACAGTGTTATAGAATACAATACAATGGGATATCGGCAAATAGTTTAAAGTGTCAATGAGATGTTGAATGAGGAGCGTTTGTGGCGAGTCATGTTGCAGATGAGAGCTGGCACCACCGAGTAGGGATTAACGGACAAAAAATATGACAGAGACAAGGAATTAAATAAAAAAGTTAGTCTGACAACTTTTATTACACAGTTTTTAGGTAAAAAGTTTACATTTTAGTCTGAAACGTCGACTGGAAACGATTTAATAAAAAAATCCAATTGCCGTGGATCCGATGGAATCCATTGGGTGTAATATCCGAGGAGTCGTTCAATAGATTGAAGGAATCTATTATTTTATTAACCTTACGTATTGCGACGCCATTTGCAATCGCAATTACAATCACGGCACCCTTCAGGAGCCGGGCTGGAGCCGGCGACTTTCACCCTTATCACCACAATGTAGAGTCCAAATCAGGTCCCGCTGACCGCAATCAACATATGAAAGAAACCGCGGCCAGCGCCCCCGGCTGAAGTGAAAACATGCGATGAATTCAACCGAGCATCATTTAGAGTTTCTTTGCTGGAGAGCGGCTCCGGGATTGGTCCAGGAGCCGGCGGCCGGGAGACGCAGCCCGCTCATTGGTGGATATACAGAAAGGAAAAAAACGGGCCTTTGTGCGGACTCGGGCGATTTATTCCCGACTATTAGTTATGGTTGGATGAACCAGCTCGATTATAGGGACGTGCACCGCGCGGGCCTCGACTGTCGATAGAATTAATACGACCCGGTGAAGGAATATAGATGACGTTCTGTTTGGGATATATTCACGTAGACTTTAAATTGTACATTACATGTTAGGATAAGAGATTAATAAAAGTTTAAGAGACCTGATAGTTTTTTTCCAAAAAATATAGAGAATATTAAAATATTACTTTTTTTTGATATTAGAGTTTACTTAATATTAAACCAGTAGCTTGGATCAATGTCGTTAAGCTGTATCTGTAAGCTTGTTTCAGAGTTCTATCGATAGTCTGAGGTAGGGAGTCAATCCCTCGACATGTTTACTATTCTCTAGCCTGTAGTCTGTATAATGGGACCAGTGGCAGTTGGCAGTTACGTCTCAATCATCACACCTTTTACTTACAGAGAGAGAGGGCGAGACAGGGACGGAACATACACGCGCGCCCGCCGATAGAGCGGGACGGAAGATACGCATTCAACCGAACAGCTTTCAAATGCACGCATTATATTCACACATTCGACAGTGTGCTCTAGTGTGGTAGGTACAGAGTCGACATTCCTATGTCCGGTTCCAATACGTTTAGTTCGCGCAATATTTAGCATGTATGTTTTCTTTAGATATGAATGCAAATAGTAATGGCGTATTTTTATTTGGAATGTTTACATAGAGGGTCCTCGCCTGGGGCGAAATATGAAAACGGGTAAATACGTCCGCCATTTTGTGTCGCACCGTCAGCAAAACAGATTATAGTTAGGTGAAGTCGGTTAGGGTCGTGGAGTGCGAGCCGCGAGGTCCCGGAGGCCCGGGGGTCGACTTTGAGTCACAGGCTTTGAGGTTTAATAATGTTTGGAGGGCCCTTTGTTTGACGGCACCTCTGAGAGGAGGGCTCGCCTTGGGACGGAGGCTCTACTTGTATGTACTGGAACGTCTTGATGTACGACTACTAGCAGGAGTATTGTATCATGACCACAACCAGTAATATATAGTTAGATCAAAAATCAGTTTACTCTAAAAAGAAGTTAGTACTCGCTTATATTCTTTGAGCTATGGTGTTTAGGCTACGTTTCTGGTTAAGTTTCTCGAGTAAACTTGTATTAAATGAATTAAATTAGAAGTGAGCGAAACAATTAAATATGTAAGAAAATTCAAAAGAAAACAGTCTTAATATATTTCAATGTTTAAAAACGGAGAATTAATAAAAAATAAAAATAATTGTTTTAAATTTAAGTTACTGAGTACGTTATAACTTGATAAGTAATTTGCCTAGTATAAATGAAATATATTGTAAGAATTTTACGGTTGAAAGAAAAAAAATTAAAACTGACATGTAGAGACAACAATAATATACCTACCATCATTGAGAAGAATAATGAGTGAAGATAGTTAGTATTGTCACAGTCTTACTAAATATTAAATGTGTTCATTGTGTCACAGATACAGTGATGATAGTTGATTCTTAATGTGAATGTGACCGTACTGTACAAATTTATATTTAATAATATATGTACATATATATATAATTAAATCAAACTCAATATTCATAGTTATTTAATCTCTCAAATATTACATGTAGTTGAATTTGCGAGATTTTAAATCAAAATTAATATTATTTTAGTACTGAAAATATGACACCAGTTTTGTAAATAAACAAAAAAGTTAATTAGTAGTTACAATAAAATAAATGTGCCGAAACCCGGGATCGAACCAGGGACCTTTAGATCTTCAGTCTAACGCTCTCCCAACTGAGCTATTTCGGCTACACACAGGTTGTTAAAATGTTTACTAGAATTTATACTTTATATACTTTATATACTTTATAATTAAAATTTATACTAGAAGACCCGGCGAACTTCGTATCGCTCCATAATCAAGAAATATCTATTACGTTTTTTTATTTATATTTTTGGAGTTTACCTGTAAGCCATAAATCTTTGTGTTTTGAAGTGCGACAGAATGATTGACATATTATGTAGTTAGTTGTCAAATCTAATGTCAAAAAAACGTTTGTATTAACATCTACTAATAAATTAAAAATTAATTAAGAAAACACTGTCCAGCAGACAAATTGTGAATCTAAACCATTCCCAGATCCCCTTGAACACACACAAAAAATTTCATCAAAATCGGTCCAGTCGTTTGAGAGAAGTTCAGTGACATACACACTCACAGAAGAATTATATATATAAAGATATATGAAAGGGTTGATGTCAGGCAGGCGGCCGGTCGTAAAAACAAATAGCCAAAACCATTCACAACATGTTAGGCAGACCCTGGCTATAGCTGGGAAAAATTGCCAGGTAGAAGAAGATAAAGATATATGAAAGAAAAGTAACTTAAAGAAATATAAGTTATAATTATTTATCACATATTTTGTTATACTTATTTATCATGAGGCATCAGGTCGACAGCAACGCACGATGTTCACACCATTGAAAATTTTACTAACAAAAGTTTCATACTCTTTTTAAATAATATAACTTCTTATGTTATTTTATTAACTTATTTGAAGGTTTTGCTATCACTCTGTACGTCACTTTGTTTTTTCTCCTGTAGTTATTAATGAAAATTAACGTCTAAGCTTCTGTGTATTTAAACAATTTATTGATGAAACCCTAATTATTTATATTGTGCTCATAAAAGAAAATACATAATATCAATAAAGAAAAACGTAACAGAGTTCATAAATGACGTGTTTGAAATAGTTCTTACTAAATTATTTTGACGAAAGTTAGTTTAAACTTAAGATATTGAAAAAGTACGTCACTACTGTTCATTACTAAGACGAATCTAAATATACTTTTTATAAATTTGGTCATTTCTGATTTAGTTAACCTATATGTTAAACATGTTACTCTGTATAACTATGACGTATGTTATTATTGTTCGTGTCCATGCTCACACTGATGCCATAGTTTAACTCTTATGTTTAAATCCCGATCTATTTTAGTACGAAACATCACTTACTTTTATTGTACTGGGATACTACCTAATCATAACGGAATTTTAAAATAATACACATTTTATAGGCGATGTTTAAATTGAACGATAGATTTCTGACTAAAATTAATTTGAGAATTATGCACTAGATGGGTTTAACTTCCATTGTTATATGACATACCTACTAATGATAGTATTATAAATAATATTATATATATTTCCATGACTGTTGTATTATGATAGTAATTTTTTTTTACTAAAAAATAAATGTTATGATTTTATTTGTAAGAAATAATCATATTAAATATAACATCAATAATGTTGTATCATTAATGTTTGTCCTAGAATTCGCAGAGTCATGACATTTATCGTATAGGGTTTCGTATCATTAAATAATATTACCATTTAACATTTTCTTGTTGCATGTAGGTAAGAAATGGAATATTCTATAGATTTGTTGACTATTTTGAAGTTGATGCAATGATTTAAACAGTTTTATCAGTCCCCATCACAACGTTCACTACTTATTATTTTAAAATGCAATACCCGTTAGTGTGAGTTAGTGTGTGAGTGTGTGTGTGAATATGAGTGTATGTATGTGTGTGTTACATTAAAAAATATATATAAAACCCTTTGATATTTTGTTCCCATACATACACTAAAATGGCAATCTTTCGCTGCAATACAACTAATCATCCCCTTGATACTTCGTGAATAATTTAAGTAATAGCTAGGTGAATTTATTTTTTAACTACCAGAACTGTAGATTAGAACGAAAATAGGTAAGAAAAAATGCTTTTATAAGAAAATAACTTGAACAGAGTCGTTCAACTGTGTTTGTTATCAAACCTTCAATAATAAGAACAGCTTCATCATTATAAGAACAACTCTGAGGGTGTCGGTGTAGTGTTACGTGACTTAGTGTATTACCCCATTATTAAGTTAGGACGGATCAAAGGCTGTTTGTTACTTGACATCGAGCTTCAACTCGTAAATGGCGTGGTAGTAATAGATTAAGGACGCTTTAGAACTCATTAAACTTATAGAAACGAGATACGTCCGTTAAACAAATTGCCAAAAGTTGTGATGGCCGGGGGCGATGGGCCGGGCCGTGCCGTAGTGACACAGGCCGCCAGCTCGCTCCTAGTTAATGCTCATTACAGAGAGCCGCGCCTCGCACCGCGCGCTAACGAGCGAGCAGCTCACGACACGACTGATAGCGCCAATCACTGGTACAGGGTGCTCAACCGATAATACAACTAACATAATACAACTAACATAACAGAACTAACACGGAACAGGGCGAATTTCATCACCATTAACGAAATGGATAGAGAAAGGTTTCTTATACCACTGACGGAGGCTTTTAACGTTTGATGGGAAATAAGACGGGCTCGTGACTGACGCTCGCGTGCAGAGAGTAATCAGTTTATAAGAAAATGGAACTGTATTATGTTACTGAGCTACAAAGTTCATTTCACACAATACACAAATACATTAGAACATCAGCAATCAGTTACATGACGAGCGAGTTCTTTATATTCATAAAAGTCAGCGTTTATAAACATGCCACAATAAATAAACATCAAACCCATTGTGTGATCGGTCGGAGCAGCCTGTATAGGGGATGATGCCGGCGAGTGGATTATCGGCAATATATTACGATATAGAATAATTCGTTGAGGGCTCGGTGGAGGGGGGAGGAGGGAGGGGGGGGGGGAGGGGGTCGCGGTCGAAAGTCACGATCTCACGTAGAGCGCCCGCGGCGACGAGGACCGCGCGCACGAACAGGGCTGAGATGAGATGAGATGAGATTAGATGATAACGGGTGGAGAATAAAAATGACTTTGTGACGTCACTGTCACAGCATTCAAACGAGCATGAGGTGAGCATATACATATAGGTTGGAACATGGTCAACTGATACATGTGGAAGTATAGTTCTTAATGTTGTATGTCAGATGTGTTCTGGTTTATATAGATGCCGACTGCAGCATGAGTCAGGGGTGGCACCATTAGTATATGAGTATAATGTTAATGTGAAGAGTATTTATCAAAAGGCGTGTTGGCGACCGACAGCCCTGGAGCGAGGTCGACTTGTAACGAGTTTGGACAAGTTGCTAATGAGTGGAGCAATGTTCCCACTCGACACTCGACACTCGACACTCGACACTCGACACCCGACACATTCATTGGCTGTCACCATCTATCTGTCAATACAGAGAGAACCGTTCAGTGAGGAGTTACAGCTACAAAAACAATCACTACATGTATTATATTATTGGCTAAAAGAAAAATCTTTTATAGTGGAACTAACACTGACCGGCGGCGTTTTTTTAAAATCATTTTGTGAGTTGTTACTTGACATGACCGAGGAAGATAAAAATATAAAAAACAAAAACAATTAAGAGATGTTTTTCATTATAATTAAGGAGTGTTTAACTTTTTGTCTGTTCTCACTATAACACAAACGAACCAGCACTATTTAATGAGCTCATGAATACGAAGCGACGGGATTACTACCGGGGTGGCCGGGTGTACGAGGTGGCCGGGTGTACGGGGTGCATAATATATAAGACGTTGTTAAATAAATTTCACAAATATATTCATAAGTCACTGAATTACTATTTCGGGTGTTTCATAATAAACCTCCTCTTCGTGTTACTGTGATTCTGAACAGTCTTTAGACCTTGTTATGTTCAATATCTTTTTATAAATTTATTTGTTGATATAAATCCGACATCTATAAAAGACCACTTCGGCCTTATGGAAGATTCCTTTGACAACTATCTGTTCATCAAACTTCTATCATGTGTTACGTTTAAAATAAAAATTACTTACCTCTAGTATTTGTAATTTCTTATATTTATTTTACGCCCTGACTAAATATTAATATATTAATTAAATTATAGTAAGTAAAGCAAATATATTGACATTTAAAATCTTTTCTTTTATAACAAAGACATTAAAATTCTGTTGAATTATATAAACTCTAACACGGAAGGATTTAAAGAAGAGCACATCGATAGAGTACACTTATAAAATCTTAAAGTATGTATTTTGAACAGTGATGAACAACTAAGACTTAGGTATTTATTAAGAACTGTACTGTCTGTGAACTATACTGTCGATTTTTGAATTATTTCATTGAAAAATTACTACAAGAATTAATACTAAAACATTACAAATAAATGAAGGAACTCTACCTGATAATGTTCATATATAATATGGATGTGTTTAAATTTGTTACGACTTTTACTAGAGATACTATTCATATGAATTTATATGTACCGTGAAGAAAATATATTAATATTAATATACTTTAATAAATATATATAAAAAAAGATTTTCAAAATCTAGCTAAAATAGTTATGATACATTTTACAATAAAAATAATTCTATGATAGATTTGCAATAGCAAAATAATTCTAAATAAGGAGCTAAATGGTTTTTTTAATCTTTATATAGAATACCTATAGTATTAGTCTTATATCAATATCCTTCGATGTTTTTCTAAAATTATTTATGAAGGTATTACCTATTATAAAATAAGAGTTAACAAATAAATTAACTTGTGAGTTGGGACGCCTTCGGTCAATATTATATTAATTTTAATAAAATAATATTAGTGACGGTTGTAGTGTAATGTGTTCGTGTCAATCATTTTTTTCATCACTCTATAATAATAATCATGACCGGCATCGCGAGGGATCGATTACAAATAATTAATTAGTCAGATCTGATTGGTGGCGGGCTAATAGCGGCGCGCGGAGATTGGCCGCCGGCGACCCCCAACACACTTATTGGTTTAAATAAAACAATCGACGCCGTACATTAATATGGCCGCCGCTTTGTTTTACTTTTATTGTTCCTTTTAATTGTTAGTCAGTTGCAATGGCGGCGTGTCGATTGATAGACGCACCTATTAGTGTGTTAACGTGTAGAAAACAAACTCCCGATGTTTACGGACGGCCGTACCATGTAAGTGATATTCATTTTACGTATAACATGTATCCAGTGTCAGCGCCATCTTTTATCATATTAAGTATTTATTTACTGGACAACTTCAAAGGCTTCAGATGAAATTTGTCAAGAAAAGCTTCTTCTTCTTCTCCTAAGATAAGTTATTTTTATTTCATATACCTGTATGTAATATTATTCGATATTAAACTGTTCATATCGTCATGTGTTAGGTGTGTGTGTGTGTATGTTTGTTTGTTACACAGTCTACTCGTCCCGGGTCCCTCTCTCCCGGGACCGTCCTCGCAGTTGTCGTCTATATAATACTCTCACTCTTATTAAAATCTATCCTCGTGTATCACAACATGTACTCATATTAATAAATAACAATATCATTCATATATTTAGTTATTTTGTGTGAGTCATACATATAATAAGTATTGTATCATCTCTATGTATCCTTGTGTGTTTGTTTTCTATTCAAACATTACACGAAGTCAGTTGTAATTAAATTAATCTCTGAAATACATGTAAACATTGTTATAAAATTTAAATAGATACTTTCTATTTCATTATTTAATTTTCTTTGTAAATAATTGATTAATTTTCAACAAAACAAAAAGACGATCTCCTTACAGATCAAAACAAAGAAACTCCAAGAAAATTTAATATACAGCAGATCCATTATCTCATAAACTATTATAATTTTTATATATTTAATAAATAAATATGTCATTCCTTCGAACAATAATTATAAATAGAAATTATTAAAAACCTATAGTATTTACATATTGGTGACAGTAACTCACTCAATAACTCACTCACTCACTCACACGGAACACTCACTACTGGTAACACAAAACAGACATACAACAATGTCTTACATCTATTGTTATCAACACACTAGTAATATATAGTAGTTACATTAACCTTAAGTTTTATATATATGAACTATTTGTTATGATGTGATGATCAAAGGCTGTTCATCTCTCATAATCTGGACATGTTCGTGTTTATGATTATTGTTTCACAAACAGATTCACTTTTATTACTTGTCGATACAAACTGGAAGGATTTCCTATATTTCTCAGTAAGAAAAATCTAAAAGGCTTTATAGTAAAGAATTGTTCACTGTAAAGTCTTCACAGAGACGAAAAATAGAGAAAAAACAGTTGTATTAATGAAACTTGTAACAAAAACTAAATATATCTTATGTATAATTATTATAATATCGTTTAAAACCATTTCATGTCTTGTTATAAGCATAATAGAAAGTCAAGATTGATCCGAACCCAAAACATATCTTAAATCATCTAAGTAGTACACATCAAGTCACTATCAGCTCGCAAATACATTCACAAAGACTTCATGATGTATCCCAGTTGTATACTTGACGCACAAACAACACAACAACACAATTCAAGTCATACAACTAGTCATTCAGTTAGTGTGTGGAAGTTATAAGTCAAGTGTTGTTAATAAACCTTCTCTCCGTCAGTATGTCTCCGTTAAGCCTCCTTCCTACTCATCATCACTCATACATTATACATAACATTGTTAATCGCCGTCTGTCACACTCACAACAGAATGTGCTTTTACTGACATCTTACAACAACTGAAATTATGATAAAAAGGTTTAGTTTTGTTTTTTTTTCAACACAGTTTCATGTAAGATCACGTATTTAACAGAAGTAGGTATGTTATGTTGATTTAAAACGTCGAACTCGTATCAATAAGACCTTACTTATAAATATCTTTTAAATTCCTATTTGTACATATTTTATTCTTCATAATAAGCGCCGCCGGTGTATGATATATGTGTATATGTGTTGTATTACTTCTAATAATATTATTATTTAACAATATACATGTACATATGTATGTATGTATGTTTTTGTTTCCATTATATGTATAACCTCACGCCCGTGTGTGTGTGTGTGTGTGTGTGTGTGTAGTGTAACACTTGACATGAAACATTCATACATATAATAAGCAAACAGTAAATCAATGAAGCGGCCCGTCATTACTATCAACTACATATCATTACTGACATCAAAGAGCGCGGAGAGCCGAATAGAGTCGGCTAGAGCCGGCTGTAGCCGAATAGAGCCGGCTAGAGTCGGCTGGAGGAGGCTATAGTCGAGGTAGGGCTCCGAGGCGGTGGAGGCCACGCCCTCGACTCAGGGTTTTTTTAATCAAGTCATGTCATTAGTGCAGCCTACAGTGTACCGGCGCCGCGCACACCACGCGTCCTGTACTCGTACAGTGAATGAGGAGCGGGGAATTAGATATTGTTATTAATTTAGACCAAGTATTATAATATTGAAACATACATTGATATATATTATAAATATTACTTAAACAAATGTTTAATATATTCAGAGTTTTAAAGGAACATGTCTCACGTTAGAGACAGTTAGAAGACGTTTCAGTGATTCATTAAAACAATTATTAAATACTTGTAACACATTGTTATAAAACCGAATCGAGACTCATATGTACATACTAGTAATTTATGTCAAAATATTTATTTCATATTCATGGATAATATTTATTTCTATCATCGAGTAACAACGATAGTCCTTCAATATAAGTTAATCATAATATTTTACAGACCTACCTTCATATAAGAAGCTTTTCTGTTAATATTAGTGATGAAACTGTTGTTGTCTCGATTTGTTTTCCAAAACCAGAGAAACATAAACATAACAGATTTGTAATAGTTTATTTTAATCGAATTATATACATACACTAGAAGACCCGGCGAACTTCGTATCGCCATATAATTAAGAAATATCTGTTACGTCTTTTTATTTATATTTTTGGAGTTTACCTATTAAAGCCATAAATCTCCGAGTTTTGAAGTGCGACAGAATGATTGACATATTAGTTAGTTGTAAAATCTAATGTCAAAAAAAAGTTTGTATCAACAACTACTAATAAATTAGAAATTAAGTAAAAAAACATTGTTCAGCGGACAACATTGTGTACATTATCTCCTTGAACACACACAAAAAATTAATAAAAATCGGTCCAATTTGAGAGAAGATCAGTGACATGCACACGCACAGAAGATTAAAGATTAATATATGAAATATTAATTACTGTTTATACTTAAAAAAAATACTTTTTTTATAGTCTCTGTTATGTTATTAAATAATTTCATTGTAAATATATATTTTTCTTAAAACAATTTATATCCCTATTTCTGTTTGATATGTTCTTCATTAAGATAATCTTTGGAACTTCTATAACACTTTTCTATACTACATATTTAAATGGATATATGTCATTACGGATATAAAATTATAACTTGATAATTAACAAAAATCTTTATATACAGGAGAAAAGAACTCAGACATTTCGTTAAATAAAAGAAAAAAGCTCACTTAAGACACTAGTTACAATAGTTATATATTTAAATAATAATTAAAACATCGCCTTATAATTATAATAATTTTAAAATACAAAATATAAGTAAGGACGAGCCGCAAAGAATCCGCAAGAATGCAGCTCAGTCCGCAACACGCAATTATGCACCCTTTGAGGGGTGAAGCGAGGGTAGTGGGGGTGAGACACCCCCCGGGAGGGTGTAGGGGAGGAGGGAGGGTGCCGCAAGTGGTCCGCTTATTGCTTTATTTGTATTTAGATTCAAAGATTAGATACATGTTATCACGCATTACGTCTCATGTGTAGTACATAATGATCTCTCTACCTGACACATGTATGTCGGCCCTCAGCCAACTACACTACACACACTATACACTACACATTAGAGTGTAGTGCGTCGCATCATCTCATTAAACTCTTACGCGTGTCTTTTGTAAAACATTAATGTAACAATGTGGCGGGCGTAGTGTTGACGGCGCGTGTAATGTGTCTGTGAGGAGAGGACATCTCATCTCATCACTGTAACTGTTAATACACACACCGCGTCCGAGTCCTACAGGGACCTCTGATACCGATTAAAGGACACAATACAACCTTGACTGCGGGTGTGTGTGTGTGTGTGTATGTGTATGTGTGTGTGTGTGGGTGTGTGTGCGGGTCCAGTTATACGGTGCCGTGGTTCACGTGAGCCTGTAAGAGGATTACTCCGAGCGGCCGGTGATTTGATTGATCCGAGCAATAACTAACGTTTAGTTAGATTAATACGAGCACACACACACACACACACACACACTCACACATGCGGAGATGAACGACAGAGGAAGATAACATTAATATTATAAGAATGAGGATACAGATGGAATGAAAATCAATTTATTTGTGATATACGCTCCTAATAAATTATATTACTTTTTTGGTGGTTTTTATTGTATGATATTAAAATGATATTTATTGTAACAGATGTTATTGTATTGGAGTTAATACATATATTATGGACATAGAATTACACGTAGTACGACTTTTCTCATATTATATTTGGCAGATAAAAATAAGAATATTAATTTTCTTTATAATAGATAAGACGAGTGACTACATTTAATAGTGGTTGGTGTATAATTGGTGTCTTATTATATTATAATAAGGGGTCAGATGTTAGTGTGTCTGTAACAATGGAAGGCGTCGCCGGTCCTCGTCTGTCCGTCACTCATACAATAACTCCATTGTGTTGTAACTGTATCAGTCATCCTCACACCTCCACAGTCCATTATAATTATGACGTCAATATTTGTATTTATTAATATGAAACACTTATTTGTATATTTAATTGACTATTTCTCTAATTATACGTGTGTCTGTGTAAGGACTGTGTAAGCGCTGCGAATGTTCCTCTCCAATCTTTTATTTCAGTGGCACGTCTTTTATTTTTTGTTGTGAAACAAAAATTAAGTGTTGTTGTTGAAGTTTTTTGTTTCGTCGTCGAGTGCCGACTAGCCCTTTATAAATCTAAACAAAGCCGCATCTAGAATGTTTCCTTTGAGCACGTTTACAGTCACAAGCCATCAAGAGGACGGCTCCCAGCTCACTCCACAGAGCGCGCCGACTGTACAACTTTGTTACAGCGACTCACACTGAATACAAACAGAGGCTCTTTAAAGACATTGTGATCTTATTTAATTGATTATAACAATAATAATTGATTTTAAAACGTTAAGATTAACATGTTTTTTATTTAAAATTACTTCAAGTGTTTGATCCAATATAGTTCATTGAGGGGCATACTCCAATAGTTTTTAATATAGTGAGTTTCATCCTACTCTCACCACTCGTCACCGAGCTATGTTTTTCAGTCTGTATATTTAATCCCCAAGCTCTCTTGATTTAATATCAACAAATTTATATTAAGTAATCATATATATTGTGGCGCGAATTGAGAGAGGTCTATGTCCAGCAGTGGACTAAGATTGGCTGAATGATGAATGATGAATCATATATTAAGGTTGTATTGATATGTTCGTCTCCGAAGTTCACCACCTTCAATCATCATGAATTATATTCAGTATACACGTGTCAAGACATTACCAGATTTTCGACAGTCAAGAACATAATTAATTGAATGTTAAAATACAATTTTAGCATAATACAAAATGGTTTTCTAGTAAATTCATAATTATATTTTGATATACATATGTATAATGAGATATAAGATTTTCACGAGTATTCATTTAAATTCATTATTTATATGTATGTTTATGGATACATGAAATATCCTAAGTGTGTATAAATGCGGATTTTTGTCATTTTTATTAAAATATGAAATGGAAAAAAAAATATTTTAATACATATAGGTATGTGTATTATATAATTAGATAATAATCATTAGCAACTAATTATGTAGCACAGGTACAGAAAAAATACTTTATAGACAACATGTCGATGAAGTGTTTTTTTGATTTTCATAAAGAATACATATCTATATGTATGACGTTCGATACTTTCTCTTGTTCTGGAGATTAACACATACTTCTGTTACCAATGATTGAAACATAGAAAAGACATACCTGTAAACAAAACATTAAATATACCATAATAACATCTTTCAAAAAAGGTTTTTTAAGTTACACAGGAATCAAAAATTTAAAATTTAACATTAATTATAAAATATAAGTGCGCTGATATAGTAGTTATTAATCAAATATATATTTAATTACATTTTATTATAATATTATATATATCGGCGCTACCAGCTTTAATAACGGATGCGACTTGAAAATAATTTAAGGCTATCATCAATTCTTATTAAACCTCATTAGTATTTATGATTATTGTTAAAAGTAAAACGAAATCAAAGGAGAATAGAATTATGTTTGAATCTTGTAAAAAATATTTCCAGCATTGATAATTCAGAGTTCAGTGAGTGTGTATCATAGAAGCATGTTATTATGAAGATTCTTTGAGAAATACAAGAGCATTCAGATCAATTGCAGTTTCATTTTAAAATATCATCGAATGCTCTAGAAGAAGTATTTGTAACGCCAGCGAGGCTGGCGTCTCTCTCTTTAAAATCAACGAATCTGTAATAAATCCGATATCAGAAGTGGGATCGCTCTCGTGATCATGCCGGTCTTATAAATCCTGATCCAGCTGAAGAAAATAACCATGTGGAGAACTTGCGTACTGAAGAACACTAAAAGAAATTTTTTTCACGCCATTCATTGATGTCAATAATGCAGAGCGTGTGCAAACGTTTACTACAAACAAATCAAGGGATAATATTAAAATTACTAAGAAGATCATCTTATACGTAGTAAATCAGGACCATGAGTCTCAAATGAAAATGAAATCTTTAAAAGGAGTGAGCTCAAATATGTAAATACGATTGGTTACAACATCTACATAAGAAGCCACGTAGTATGGATATTAAGCGGAGATATTATGCGACGATGTGGCGCTATAACTGAGGCAAGACGGGCACGTTCTAACTGAATGTTGAGGCCATAGCAGGCTTGACCAAATACTAATACACATCCTGAGTTTTCAGATACCAGCTCCTCTCAACAAGTAAAAGAACCTGGCGCGCCGAAGTAAATGATTACTCCTAGTTGCTTCAAGTATGATTATCGAGGCTACTTCGCGCTGCGCTGCCCCAGTGTTGAATTCTAAGCCAATTAAGCATGGACCGAACGACGTGTGAATACTGTTCCGTCCAGATATGGTTCAGCTCTGGAGTGAAACCGGTGAGAGGTTTTCATGTTGTTTCGACTCGGGTACCGAATGTTCTTTAATAAAAAAAAAAAAAAATATTTGAAAGAGATTTCTAAGTAAATCGCAATATTATAATACAATTGCATTAGAAGGTGTAAGTAACGCTCGCATTAAATGTAATATCTAAATTCTTTAAACAAAGTTATTCAGTAAAGTGAGATTAGATAGGATCTGCTTACATTAGGGTATTCTATAGGGATTAAAAATAATGTCACATTCTTTAAACAAACAAGATTTAATTTTATTTGTGATATAGGTATTAAAGTAAACAACTTCGAAAGTATATGCAGCGACGTTCCTTATTATGAGAAAGAGAGATTTATTAGTTAACTGAAAAATCATTTGAATAATGTCATAGAGAGTACACCAACTGGTAGGGTTAGCACAAGTCAACTGATAATTAATCCATTAACCGCCAAAACTAAAACAGCAGTAGTACTTTTACAAAACATTTATTTTCATGTTGCCTATGGGTCAAATAAACATAAAAAAAAAAAATATTTTGAAAAAGAAAATCAGGCTTTTCAGGAGAATGGTGTACACAATTGAGTACAGCGGCTTATTATAGGTGAAATTTTTCAAAACGTTGGTTTTCAAAACATAATGTTTTTACACACTTTATGCATTGTCAACGAACTCTTGTTTGACAAACAACACATCGCAATAATTTTGTAACCTTTTCGGATAGTGCTCTACACTATTTTGAGCCAAACCTTGTAATGTTGAATGTACCCCACCGCCACTGTCTTCGTGAACAGCAATCTTATACAGTGCAATCGATTGGTATAATTCATCAACTCCCCTCAAATTTTTAATATATGTTTGGCTATTTTGACATAAACCAACAAATCTTCCCTGGATACTTTATGATAACCAAAAAGTATCAATATACCTATAAACCTATTCAAATCAATGGATTCTAGTTGAAAAGTATGTCTGCTATTTTGATTAGCATATTCAATTGTATTCGTAATTAACTTCTTCATCAAACATTTATTCAAATATCTGTACGGGACTAAGTTCTGAGAGTTGTTCTTTAACTGCCTCCTGTCTTTCTTGCATATCAGTTCCTTCTTCAGTCGTCGAAGATTATGTAAGGGAACATTTACGCCATACAGGCTGACGCCTTTCGCCTTTTCATTTCTTTTTCAGCCAATGATTCCTCCTACTATCGTCACTTAAAATGTTGTCCTCGTTAGCTCTAAGAAACTCAATATTACCAGGCACATCCCGCGGCAAAGATGCGGTAACCATGTCTTCGTCGAAACCCTCCTCTTCATCTTTAAGGATGCTGAGATCTGGCTGTATAACAGTCGTAATCCCCTTCACTGTCACTCTCATCCAAAACAGCATTGACTTTGATCCTTTGTAACAGTTAGAAACGCTAAAATATTTCGAACTCATGGTAACGAAATACTAGAATCAATCAATCGTTATATAGATTCGGCCGCTGTACGCAATCGAGTATCGTTGTATTTCAAGTACGATTTCTTTGTAAATACTTGTTGTAAGATACTCTTTTATTATTAATTTTACGAATAAGGATGTTGACAAGAAACATATAAATATATCTTAAATTTAGGTTATGTAATATAAAAAAAAATAATGTATCAGCGAATATAACCCACATAAATTGTAATGAGGCGGAAAGAATATATAAAGTTGGATTTAAGAGATTTCGAGATAAAATTTAAATAATTCCAGAATGGAGATTTTATATAAAAAATATCACAGAAAAAGTGAATAGAAACCGAGGAACTACTAATATATAATACTACTACCTAATAGTTATCCGGTGAGCGTATTTCATTTTGTTCAATTTACTTCATTTCAAACGCATTGCGTATTTTGTAGCTAGAAGTGTGATATTCAAACATATATGTATTTTGAGAAATATTACTATAAAAGACGCATTTGGCGTGCAGATCCGAACCATAACAAAAAAAAAAAAAAAAAAGAGAATTATAATAATAAAAAATAAAATGAAAATGACAATAAAAATAAAATTGTTGTAGACGGGTGGAGACGTCTTACGACAAATAATAATAAAAAAAAAGAAAAGAAAAAAAAAATAAAATAAAAATAAAAAAAATGTAGACGGATGGAGACGTCTAACGACGAATAATAATGATGATAAAAAATAATAATAATAATAATAATAATAAAAAAAAAAAAGAATTATAATAATAAAAAATAAAAATAAAAATGACAATATAAATTGTTGTAGACGGGTGGAGACGTCTTACGACAAATAAATTAATAATAAAAAAAAAAATAATAATTAAAAAATGTTATAGGCGGGTGGAGACGTCCTATGACAAAATATGTTATGAAATATGTTATGAATGTTCGAGTGATGCCCCAAAGCCATAGTAGCTTAGATAATTGGACGTGATATTATGACCATCCAAAGATGTGTCGTAGTAAACAACGTCACCCATACGATCAAAACAAATTTGATATTCATAATTGTAACAATATTAAGTTATCTAGGGTTACTGTGGAAGTACCTAGACTACAAAAGCATTTATCTTTTTATCACAGAGCAAACATCAGTATGACCGTATCGGCATGACTTCGGAAGATGAAGCATCAATTCTTGATCCTGTCCCATCTACTTTAGGAGACGCGCGACTGGAAAAATTTAAGGCTATTACTTTAAACCTTTTATTCATGATTTGTAAATAAAATGAAAAATAGATAGAATTATGATTCTTGTTTTCACTCAAAACTGCGACCCGACATTTATTCTGTTTATGTGTATCATATCAATGTTATTATGAAGAATATATGAGAAATACAAGAACAGATAATGCAGTTTGATGTTTAAGGTGATGTAGAGGAGAGGTTAGCCGGTGGTGTTACTGAAACCTTTAACAAGTTAACTCTCAGGAAGATAACTCCATTGTTAACCGACGGCAACAAACTTAACTATTGCACAAGTTACCAATTACATACTTATATAAACCTTCTGATGTGTATGTACATTAATTACTAGCAGGTTTTAATAGGTTTGTTAGTAAGTTAGTTTAATAGGTTTAGTAGGTATGTCTCACTGTAAATATTTTATTTTTATACCTGTTTTATTATTCTTATACATTCTCATTGTTTACGAAATGATTGTAATAGTGTTGACGGATCACATGATCATGCCCTTTATTATGACAAATTAGAAGATTTCTGATGACACTTTAAATTAAATACTTAACGCGTTTTATTTCATTATTTTGTTCATGTTATTTTGGTTCTTGGAGCTTTTTTATTACAACTCTTCATTACTTTCTAGTAAGAAACGACCATTCACAAATATATTATGTATGGTAACTTATATAACCAAAAAAAATATATGTAATAGCAATATAACTGACTCATTATCTCATTCACATTTTCATCAAAAACTATAAATATCACAAACAGAGTTACATAATATACATAATTAAATAATTGAATCCTTTAATTTGTTTCTTATAAATGCAACTGTTTTTAATTCTATGGTGTTTGAAATATTTAATTTATAATAAATTGAATAAAACTTCTCACGGACAGATATCTCAAATATAAAATCCTCCGACAGTTACAGTTTAAGAAAACCTGACACCGAGGGAAAAGATACAACATGACCGTCCTAAACTATACTCGGAGACAGATCCAAATACCTCACATGTCACTATGTATCTTGGAGGGAAGAGGGGGAAGTGTCGTGTCGTGACGTCACACCCCCCCCCCTCCACCGACCCCGACCTGTCATTAATTACCATTAGATGTCACCGCTCCGTCCGTCTGTTGATACAAGAGTGTACTCATGATGTAGTGTTGAAGTGTGGTGTGGTTACAGATACGATCTAATGAGACGACCTGTAATAATATTATTAAGGGTTTAGAAACGATCCGCTCAATATATATATGTATCAGAAGGTTATATTAAATGAAGGAGAACATGAACCGAACACAAGTATAGTGTTGGAGAAACGACAGACACAAACGAGCTGCTAACACACAAACATGCGCAGGAGCAGGAGACGTGAGGGAGGAGAGGTGACACACACACACACACACACACACACACACACACACACACAGACAGACAGAGCACGGTCCTCTGGTTGAGGGTAATGAAGTATAATGGAGGATATTATACACTCGTGTGAAACAAACCACCAGAGTGAATACCCCCTCTAGGCTCTATTGAGAACAACTAAATAAGGCGGAGGACACACCGGCTGGGAAATTACGGGCCTATCCACCTGCCGCTGGGAACGCGCGGGCCCGCCGGACCGGACCTGCAGGCCTGCCACCCCCGGCCCGGCCCGCTACGGGCACCAGAGCTTTTCATTTCTACAATTAATCAAAATTAAATCAAAGCACGAGAGGACGGAGCATTTTAAAATGTAACGCGATGCCATACGGTCGTGTTTCATCCGTCTCTACATCTGTAGGCGTGTCCCCCGCGAAGAAATCTGGCCAATAGAGTGCGGTAACAAAATATCCGTATTGGCTATTAGTAGGCTCCGCCCGCCCGCGCCGGGGTGCAGCAACCTCGGCTCCATAAGGACGTACGGCACGCTCGATAGTAGAGACGATAGGACGTTACGGAGCGGAGAGAGAGCTCCGCGGCGCAGTTCGACAAGGGCGTGAGAGCTAAACGGAGGGTTGGGAATTAGGATTTTTCGTCAGTGAGCGGCGAGGAGGGTGACGCCGGGGGGTGAGGGGGGTGAGCTCGTCTTTACAAAGAGACGGGAGGTGGCGAGGACAGAAGCGCTCCGGACGCCGCGGAGAGCGCTCGTCACGCTGACACACAGACAACACGAGATACAGAACACTCGCGAGAACAACACATACTGCTCCGCATCGGTCTGCCTAACTATTATAATATTAACGGAAAAAAATACTGTCGATATCATCCAACTTAGTTGACTTTGTAAAAATCGTTCAGTGATTCAGAACTTTATCTCAGTGACTTGTAACAGACGGCCAGAGTCCGAGCAGTCCTTGAGGTCCGCCAGTCCGAGGTCCTCGTGAACGAGCGACGATGAAGCGGATGAACGATACTAACACGAGACTTTGTTGAATGAGCTTCATCACGATGCAAGCGATGAGCGCCAACGCGAGCGCTCCGCGGGCGCCGCAGAGGTCTCCGTTCGCCATCCAGGAGCTGCTGGGCCTGTCGGACCGCGGCGAGGCCCGGGAGCGCTACTTCGAGGCCCGGGACGAGCGGGTCCTCAACCTGTCCGAGAGCCGCGAGCCTCGTTCCCCCTACACGCCCCAGTTCCCGCTGCCGGCCTCGGTCGCCAGCCGCGTCGCCTACGCCGCAGCCTTCAACGCCCAGGCCGCCGTCGCCGCCGCCTTCCTCCCGGGCCCGCCGCTCCTCCATCCTCCTCCCGGTAAGTCCGCTCCTTATATCTGTAAGTCAGTAAATCTCTCTCGTCCCATAGCCCGTATTGTGCCGTATTTCTTTTTGAACGCTCGTCATTGTGCGGTATCGCCGGCGGCTGTTTCTCGCCACGTTTTAATTAGCGTTTTTTTCTTTATTATAATTAGCTCAGCGTCAGACAATACATCTTTGTGCGAGCTGTCGACGCTCCACGGATCGGGTTACGGCGAGGCTCGCGGCCGACCCGACCCGGCTTACTCGTTCATTATAGACTTACCTAACATACAATCATCATCGACCTGACTCCTCTTGTCATTTCTGTTTCATAATCCAAATATTTTGCATTGAATTTACAGTATGACGGAACTTTAAGAAATTCGTTCATAAACTTAATTCAAACTCGAAATATCTTAAAAATCATCCGACACAGAGTCTTAGGTTAAATATATTTTTAATAAAATAAAGATTGATATCATAAATTAAAAAGTAAAATGAACTAGAATGATATTAGAAATGATAAAATAAGAAGAGTCTCATCCGACTGTCATTGAAATAACTTCATTGGAAAGCTTTAGAGGTGAGTGAGGGCTTCCTGAGAGATGGAGAGACCCGGTATTATAATAAGTTAGAGGAAAACTTATAGAAAAAATATATCTTTATTGTAGAAAAAAAAAGGATTCTGTTGTATTGGATTTTGATTCGTAATAGATGAATACATATAAAAGATCTCATTATAACTTGAATAACGAACTATAAATATATTTATGCGTTTATTAAGAATTTTTGAAGCAAAATAACTTGCGAATAAATTTTATACAGATACTGTATTTAAAAATCAAGAAATGTTTGTAGTGAAATGACTAAAATATTTTATTAACTTCATGTTTTATAAAGAAATGTAAGCGAATATATGTAGATCATTTTACAAATATTTAACAGAGGAGTTAATATTTAACAAAGGAATGAAAAACTAGGTTCCGCGATAAAAATTATTAGGAGGCCGTCGGCTTAACATACGGAGGCGACTTGGAGGAATAACAATATGTTTAGAATATTATATATGATACAGTTAATAAAATAAACGTGAACTTATATTACGTCTGTTAAATATATTGAAACCATATTTTTATTTAATTAATATATACCCAAATAAATTCCATATTTTCATTATGAAATAACAAATCAATCACTGAAATAAAACATTTCTTTAATCCAACAAGAATAGTAGGGTACAGAATTTTATTAATAATATAGTTATTAGAATTAGAATACTTGTTAATATAACCAAACACAGTTAATAATGATTTTTAACTGCTATAATAATAATATTTAATATATTTTATAACGTTAAATAATTGTTACTGAGCCACCGATCACAGGAGTTATTTTATTTTATTTCAAGACATAGGTATACAACAAGCATCAAATCATTACCATATATCATAATTTTTATAGTACATTTTATTGTATATTACAATACTCATACTTATCTTCTCTTCATTATTTTATATTTTTGATATCAAATAGTTTTTTACTATAAATGTATGTAGTCTGTTCTTCTATTTACTAAATATCCGCGGTCACTAAACCACAAGCAATGCATATATTAATATTTATATATATTTTAACTGAATCCATACATATACCTAACTATATTTTATTTAAGGAAACTATAACACAGACAAACTGGCAACTTTAATAATATCTGTTCATTATATTAAAATTATCAAAGTTTTTAGATTCACTTCAGATTCAAATTATTATCTACTATACTTTGAAATTTATTTTTTGTAATGGAGCTAACATTCAATGTAGAAGAAGATAGTTATTTCAAGTCTACTGCGGGTGTTAACACGTTTTTTCCAGAAGGTTAGGTAAAATGAGTTTTGTAAAACGTTATGAGAAAACATCAATAATCTATAAGTAAAATTTATAGTAAATAAATTTAAATAATATTGGTGTGTTATAATAAACGTTATAAGATGTAAAGATATTTATTGTTCTTTAATATAAATGTATTATTAAAAGTAAAAACTTTTTTTGATAGATCCTTTAATTTTTCACTTATAATATTGAGTTTCAATTATTAATTATTATTCTCAACATCTGTTTTATTGAATAACATCTTAGTAAATTATTAACATTTCGAAATTTCCAGTATTTTTAAATACAAAAAACTTATTGGATCAATTCAGTTATAGGTCGAATATCGACAATGTTGAAGTAATGATTCAATGGGACTCGTGGTTAACATGAAAAGCACATTACAAACATAGAAATAAGAATAGTACAAGTTTAAAGACGTATTATTATTATTCTGGTATTGTTTATATCATAATATAAGCTTAGAAGTCCGAACCCACATCTATGAGGTGATGTTTGTAGGACAGAAGAGAGCAAAACGATCAACTCCGTAACGAAGCAAACAGCAGCACAAAGACAAATTGACCAAAACGCTCGGATATCAACTAACCCATTATCAAACTGACAAATCTGTAGGTTCTTTGTGCAGCCTCCTTTATTAAACATAAAGGGTTATTCTCGGAGGTGTGAGCCCTCAATGTCTTGTCTTTTCTTTTGAGAGCCAGTTTTTGTTCCACTTTGTGAGGTGTCGCCGATTGTTTGACGTGTGTTCACTGACTACGGCCCTTATTATTATTATTGTTGAGCTTCCCTCTATCTCCTGGGCTGGCTTCGATTACGGTGACGTCATTCAACTAACGAAGGTCAAAGGGTAGAGGTCGCATCGGCTGCCAGATTAGAACCAGGCATCGCTTACAAGGATTTTATTTTGGTTAAGAATGTTACTTTGCTGAAAGTTCATTACATAAATACTAATATCAAGTATTATTGAGCTATAACTAAGGTTTCTCGTTGCTTTCACTAGCTGACGGTTTTAATACAGTTCGTTTCAATTTTTAAGTTGTTAATATAACAAGTTTGTCAGGTGCCATTAGTTATTCTATAAAAATGTAAAAGGTGAATTTTTTAAGAAACAGAATCACATTTCATTACAATGTCCTGTCCTCGCGATCACAACACGGCTTCAATCACTAACTTCTTTTATAACTCTTCTGTTATTGTTAATATTATTTTTTCAATAAACAAATACATCATTATTAGATCCATTCGTTACTCTTCCGTAATGTTACTTAATAGTTAACTTAAATCAGAGAGTCTCATGTGCCACAAATATATCAAGATATGGTAATATTGTTCTTTAAACCAATAAATGATACGTCTGTATCAATCCAGTCAACTTTAAATCTCTCAATAGTCCCAATCTGCTGCAAACATCTTATTTTTCGCACACACACACACACAGTAACAGCTGTGTTATGTGTGTGTGTGTATAGTTAACCCTTCCCCGTACCAAACCAGTTAGTTCCGTGGTGGTGTAAGTCACTGACTTATGACGACTTCCTAGTTAGAGTAGTCTTCAACTGAATGAACTACCAACTACTGAGTGGTAGTACACTTACTATAATCGTATTTAATTATTACAAATAACTTATAATTTTGATACGTTTTTCAATACAAGTAATAAATGAATGCCTCTAGAATATACTTCATGATTTCATGACACTAGTGTTATGATCGATTTAATATGTATTGATGTGTATTATAATTTATAATGTATGTATATGTACCCGCCGCGTCTCTTGAGAAGAGCCGGAGGACGAGATGAGATCTTCTGGGAGGTGTGAATGAGAGCTCGGCTTTATTAGCCCGGTACAGACGACACGTTACGTTATAACAAAAATATATTATATTATAATCTTATTACATATATACATAGGTACATTATAATTGATTACATTATTTTGATTATAATAACATTAAGTTTAGTATTTTTTAGTATAATTTTAAACTCTCATATTTTTCTGAATTCTCTGTCTTCAGAACAGATATATATATGTATTAGTTCGTTTGTTAAGAGTGTATGTTGTAACATGTAAGTCATGATGTATGAATGTGTCGGGTGTGATTGCGGACAGTACTCGTCCAATACAGGAGTCATCCTTTCACAGGAACAAAAGTCGTTGTATGAGTAGGACAGTTTAGGTATTGTTGACGGGAGACAGTAGTACGCACGAGGCTCACCAGACTACAACCCCACGACTCTTTACCTAGCTCTACTACGTCCTCTATTATAATTAAACTATGTACAACAATATATACAAGTCCGTACTGAACAAAATAATACAACTCGATCATACCTTCACCAGATTCCTCATATTGAATACTATCAATTATATTCAGTAAATATAATTTTATTCCCAATAGTTTCTTGTATACTATGTTGATAAAGGGTACTATTCTTATTGGATTACCGTAAAATAAAAGTGTAATATCTCCAGTAGGTCTTAATGTAGGTGGTTAATGTGGTAGGTGGAGCTCCTCGGATGATCTCGATGACGGAGGGCTCTTCCAATGTGTCAAGAGTATCAAGAATCATTCACTTTCAACATCGCTGACTATTTTATTCAATCCACTGATATCACCAGCCTGCCTTACTACACTACACACTACACATGCTAGCGACACACAGATAACAATTTTGTAGTTTTTTGGTTTATTTATTATATAGTTATTAAGTTTTGGGTATTAAATATTTAGAGTTATTTATTCTCGTTCAAACTTATTTCTGTCTAGTTTTACTTAATATTATTTAAATATTATTGATAATCAGTATTTGTTTAAATTAGACCCTACTGTTGATGTAAAACTGATACGCGGACCGTTCTATCAAAAATGTTCTTAAGAACTTTTTTAACTTAATGAGAACTAAACAGTACATAAGATAAGATCAGATCATAATTATATATTCTTTAATATTTAGTTTTAAAATCAGTTTCTAAAGTTATGTTATTTATATTCAACATTATTACTGATTCCCATTTCTTTGTCGTACCTGTAAATTACATAGATATTGTAATTATTTTATACTAGACTTTAGAATGTATTGTCTCTTCTTATCAGGGTAAAAACATTACTGTTCTGTCTAAT